GAAATAAATGCATTTTTCACCACAAAAAAACGGACCGAACTAATTTGTACTCCCAATATAAAAAAAATATTTATACAATACGTGTCTGCCAAACTCATATGGTTTTGTTATTTTGCTCCATTATTAACTAGAATAAATAGAACGATTTAAAATAAGTGTAAAAAACGTACTACAATAATACTAAGATTGTCAGGCAGTCGTTCTAAGTAAAAAATATTAATAGACTGCGAATTTTTATGCAAAATGACATTTTCTAAAGTAATTTTTGACGACAACAGCAAAGATAGGAATTTCTTTCTTCTCTTAAATATCTTATTGGGTTCAGATTAAAGTAGAAAATATATTACATGTGACGAACGTTTTTTCTCTTTTGTATTACACAAAGTCCTATTGGCTATAAATACATCAAATCCGCAGTCTACTTTACAATGATTAAAACTTCTGTCATAATAAAACCACAATCCTGGTGCAAAGTATATTAAATACACACAAGTTATCCCGGTAGTAGATTTGAAGAGAAGCGTAAAAGAGCCAAAAAGGTGGTACAAGTATGATGGTGCACCTCCTTATCAGTTCGCATTCAGGTGGTAACATCACCATAACAGCATAACAATTTTAAACTTTGACAACTACACGAATACTAATAACAGAAAGAATGTTCGTGTATGTTTTATAGAGAATTACTTTATGTGTAATCTGTCAAAGCTTTTTTAAACCCATTCTGAATCACCCTGTATATTCATATCAACAATCGATCTATCAACAAGACACAAGAACATCTGCAACATACAACGTAGCAATCTTGCGAGGAAAATCCCGATGCCTAATCGGAACAGCCGAGAATAGCGGTAACAATGCTATCTTCTGTTTAAACGATCGAAGTGCACATGTACACGAGGCAGAAACGCCACGCGATCGGTACATGGCACAATACGACGAAAGAACAACGAATACCCATTAATTGGCTAGTCGATAGAACGATGCACAGGCGGATTCGCGAACGCAATGATTGATTTCTACATTTCCACTTGTGTTGAAAACAAATCATATGCGATATCCTTCTCTACATTGTTGTGAAGAAGGTTTAAGTCTCAAATTAGGATGCGTACATGTTTCACTTGAAAAAAAATTAACAATATTTATTTGCAACACTCATTTTTGTGGTATTTACAGTGGGTCCAAAAAGTATTCGTACACCCTTTAAAACAGAACAACTCTTTCAAAATAGGACCAAGTGACTTGAGTTTCTTCGTGAAGTTGGAAAGATTAGTGTACTAAATGTTGAAAAAGTTGCAATTGGTCGAAATCGCGAAGAAAATAGTAAATGTCGCTTTTTTCGACTTTTTTATCTGAGATTGTAATGAAAATTTAACGAATACATTGCTTAGATTTATGTTAGTTATATGCATGCTGAAAATTTCATCGAAATCGGTTAACGTTGTTATGAGATACAAACGGTTAAAAATGTTAAAAATTTCAGTTTTTCACGACTTTAGACCTACAACTGTAGTATATCTATAGATTCTGACATCTTTCGATGCCTGTTACTCGTTTCTGTATTAACCGATTTCAATAAAAGTTGTAGCATGTAAATAACTGACATAAATCTTCGAAATGTATTTATTAAATTTTCATTACAGTTTCAGACAAAAAAGTTATAAAAAACGACATTTACTATTTCTTTCGACATTCTGAGAAGTCGCAAATTTTTCACAATTCTTTTAACATAGCTTTCAGTAAACTAATTCTTCTAACTTCACAAAGAAACACAAGTCACTTGGTCCAATTTTGAAAGAGTTGTTCTATTTTAAAGGGTATGCGAATACTTTTTGGACCCACTGTATTGTCTTTAGTTTTGTGTTTTTACGGCCGAAAATTTGTTAAACTTTGTAACGTAATAATTACTGTCACATGCATCAAATCCTAAGTTATGAACTTCGGTTCCAGAGATTATGTAGGTAATTATAATAGATCTTACTTTTATTGTGGATAAGTTTCTTATCTCATAACAGAGTGAATGGAAAATGATGATGTAGCCAACAACAGGTTGATTCGACACTTGAAAATAATTCAAAGTGACAGAATAAACATTTTTGTTGTATAAAATTTTTTGTCCTAGATTAGAATGATGATTAATGAAATCACTTTCAAATATTCAATTTTAATTCCACCAATTTTATGGTAATGGCTCACTGTGCGACGTCTCGAAAACATAACAGTACAATTCGCTTAAACTTGTTAAATATCCTGATACATCAAGGCGTAATTATTTCATTATATGAACTTCGGGTTACCCAACCAGCTCGAATAATCGAGATTCTACTAGCATATTGAATTTCCAATGATAAGAAATTCGTAGGACGGTAGGACAGGATTGCGATGTGACATTTCCTGCTATCAATTGCATTAATTTGTTAGATATTTGAGAGAGCTACTGTACTGTAACGTAATACGTGCTTTAGCACTTGTAAGAGTCTGTAACGCGATATGAATCTGGAGCAATCTATTAGCGCAGCTCTTTCGATCGCATTCACAAGTGGATTGAGCACACACGAGTACTTATAATTAGAGCAAATCTTAACGCACACCTACAGAATCATTATCGAAAAATTAGAATATAAAATCTCCATGAAAGTTGTTGAACCCATCGTAAGATCCCGCTAGAAAGCTACGCAACTCATCTAACATGGTTATCAATTCTTATTACAGATGTACAAATTTCAAGCAATTATTATAAATTCTATAATATCAGGCCCAGTCTTATATGATATTCCAAGTCATTAAGTATCATACTAAAATGTAAACCTGTGCTAGTGTTTTTTGTTTTATTAAAACGATAGATTTTAATTCTCCAACAGCTGACCGTCTGACCACCACATACTGTACGATACCGAATCAATTGTATCCTATACAAAAAGTTGTATTATGTTTTTATTGTATTAACGTACTAAAGTTTATCACACGATCGTGTTATAAATACATAAATAATAAGAATGTGCCTGAAAAATAGAAATATTCCATTGTTTATTTCATTTATATACACAATATGTATAAAATATTACTAAAACATATTGAAATTTTCCATCAAAACGGTGAAATAACTACTCTCGATAGGTTTGAAACTGTGCATAAATATAAATAACAAGAAGTAACGAAATTCGTAAAATTAAAAGGAAATGACGGTGCCAACAATTCATCATGGAATATAAATATGTCTTCGGTGATCGAAGTAGCGTCAATACATATTATTTAAAAAAAAAAAGCTCGTTTAAGACTGGAAAGATTTATAAAAACATTATTAAGTAGTGAATGAAAGATTTCAAAGTCGGTATCGAAACGTAATTCTTTTCAAGGAGATGAAAAGAATCGCGGGGAATTTGTGCGATAATGGAACAACAAATCTGAGCGAAAAATGGTTCGAACGATTAGACAAGCTATCGGGAGTCGGTTTTTACTACCAATCGGATTCGTGCGCTTCGTCGTGACTCCGCGTGCAGTTGATTTTCACTGCAAAAGTTTGGAGACAAATATGCAATTATTAATGCATATTTTTATTAGTATTGCACGGTACGTTATTGTACAGTATCGCAAGACGGGATATATGTATTTATTTACCGTATAAACATGAATATATCTGTGATTCATCACCCTCTAAAAACACTGATTCACGACTCGGTGGGCTCTTTGCTGGATTTTCGTCGCCGGACAAAGAAATTCGATAATATACATCTTTATTTGAGTAAAAGTCACGGATGACACACGCGATGACAATCATTACGTAATGACAAAATAATAGTACACGCGAAAAGATACTGTTATTTGATCACGTGAGCGTTTCCTATATCGTTGTTATTTATACACTGAAATCTGTGGTGCGATATATTGTTGACGCATAAACAGGATATCAAGAAATTATGTACGAAGAAAGGCGAGAAGAGTAGGCTGAGGAGAACAGTTTCAAATTATGTGCTATCTAAATGTTTAAAACGGTGACGGCTTTTCAGGACGTTGTTTAACAATACGTAATATAGTAATCATTGCTCTGGAATTGTGTTCTAGACTGAATGTCAGAGTTATTACTAAAGCAAAAATGTTGAAACTCTGTACAATAATTGAAATCAAACAACTAATGTAATTATTGATCAATAATCGAAAACAATTTAAGAAGATGAAAACACACAACAAAGACGTAACTATGACTTATTAGCTTATCAATAAATTATTTTGTAATTAGTCAAGAACATTGAATATCCTCTCATATACTTATGTTGTTAAACTTTCAACACTCTTAAAATGTTTCCATCCCTCAATGGAAATGAAAAAAACACTCACTGATACGCAGTTTCTATCACAGTTATCCTACACATATTCATAACAAACAGATGTATAGAAAATACAATTCACACAAAACATAAACATCCTTATTCATAGGTTTGCTATCGTCATCCTACCAAAATCACTCCAACTGTTTCAATCTTCGATATAAATGAAAAAAAAAATGTTCATCATTCTAATTTGATATTTTACACAATACTTTTATAAGAATACTAAAATGACCACCAGTCGACGAAACGCATTTCTCGATAGCATACAAAATACAGCCATATCCATTTATAAATGTCACTATCTCCAGTACGGATAAGAAAATAATAACATGCAGCCTTACACGACCGCGTCAACATAAAAGAAGCCAATCAACACAAGAATTTAAGAACTTTCCTTCTCCGTATTTCACCATAAAGGAAGAAAAAGGCGCCAAGTGTCATGCAACAAGACATAGTGTATTCGAGGAAACTGTCATTCACGAGTATGCCTGAAAAAATCAATTTCCTTTACGGTAGATTCAAAGTTTTACCATGAACGCAAACGCAGGCAACGACGCCACTCTTTGGTGCCGTTTAAAATCCACTGCGCAGGTACGCGTCCGTGCACCCCCGAGCGTACGGGGCGGGTAAACAAACGTGCAAGTGAACTCGCGTGCACATCACGCGGGCACTCACCGACTTTCCGCCAGGCAATCCTTTCGCCGTTGCCCCTTCCAGGGCGGGAAGGACCGGAGAACACACTCGGGGCACCGTGGCGGTAGCAAAAGCTCGAGGCTGTTCGGAACGGCGACGAATGCGCGCAGTTTTCGCGGTCGAATGTGCTGTGCGAGGATGTAAGATCCGCGGCGGGTAACGGACGGTCAACGCGCGATTTCCGTCGCAACGGGACGGACGAACGGGCTAGCTAGCGAGCGAGCTAGCTAGCAAGCGAACGAACGAACAATCCGTGGTAGCCGAGAGAGATCCGACGCGCGACGAGAGCACCGCGTGGTCATGCGTACGTTCGGCGTAAAAATGACTAGGACGAGCGTCGCGCTGCACGACCGCCGGCACAAGGGCGTCGAAGGTCGCAGCTGCGCGCCGAGGAGCGGCATGCAGGTGCGTCCCTCTTTCGCGATACGCGCGATTTGGAAACTGCCACAAATTGCTCAGCCCTGCCAGACGCTCTGCGAGTATCTCTGACGGACCGACCACACGGACCGGCAGAGGGGGAAACGGAAAAGAGACTGGCTTGTGAACCCGGTCTAAATACGGACGAGTATATATAATACATATACTCACGGCGATGACGTCCAGTGTCGCGGCGACTGGTTTGAATACGGTCGCGGGGATGCTGCGGACCATTCTGGTCCTCTTGGGCAGGCGAATAGTAGTGGTCCGTGGTGGGGTTATGTTATTAAGGGATAAATGTATGGATAATATCAGGGTTCAGGGCTGTGTTTAAGGGGTTATGCCTACCTGCGGGCTCGAAAAAGGACATGTACTTTCGGAATTTATTTTTAAAAAACTTGGAGACTTTTTTAAACATACGTCATTGTATTCGAAAGTGTACATTTTAAAGTGCTTATAATAATTGCTTGAATGCAAAATATGAATAAATAGGGGAAATATCAGCGATCAGCCAGCGGCGTTTTTATTTTAGGCGTTTTGCGGTGACCACTGTAACTTCGAGTTCGTTTATCTAAAATAAAAAATTCGAGCAAATTTAGTTAATATATTAAGTTATCTAGCGCCCGATCGTTCTTTATCCTGAAAAATTAATTTACGACAAAATGGTCGCTGTTCAAATTCGAAGTATCGATTTTCGCTAAAAAAATCGTTCATTTTTAATCTATAAAATAAAAACTACGCAATGAAATACAAAAAGCCATGATCAGGCACTAGATTTTTATGTATAGAATGAGTCCATCAAAGCAGAATCAGTTCGGTGCAGCGGTTCTCGAGATATTTTGGTCACCGATTCTGAAAATGTGGTTTTGAGAAAAACATGTTTAAAATTTCAAGTCAGGTTTACAACCGAACCATTGCAAATTTTTTATATATAGTTATTCTTAATATTACGGCTTTATATAGCTTTGTGTATTTACTAACACAACCATAAATTGCATTGGGGCACAGTATTCATGACTCACGCACCCCTAAAAAGAGATTCTACCACTTTATATCTGCTCCGAAACTTCCAAGGCCGTATACTTTAAACGGGCGTAACTCCGCCAATTTTGGTCGGATCAACTTCAAACTTTCACACAATATTTCTAAAATTGACCCAAAAAACCCCAAAAATTGATTTTTTCAAAATTTATATGTAGGCATAACCCCTTAAGGGGTCTGTTCATTCTTAACCCCACCCCCCATGGAACCTAACTGATTTTGTTTTAAATTCGCTATATATCATGACCTTAATATGTAAAACTCGTGTAACTTCATTTGACGGAACTTTACAGGAGAGCAATAAAACAGTTTAGAATTAATTGCTTTTAATGTTTTAATAAAAATAGGATTTAGTTAGCTTCATAGGGTTTCATTTTTGTATATCGTGTTAAAAATTAGGCAATCGCTCCCCTTAGACTAACAAACACAATAATTTGATAGTTAATCATTATCTTTTGTATTCGCATTAGCGTGGCCAAGGGAGCCAGGAAGGCGCACTTGCACCTTTCCTCCAGAGAAAAACAGAGACCTTCCGCTAGGGGGGAATAAATTGAATTTCATCCTCCCCCCCCCCCAATACCCCACGCCCAACCCTCCCGCAGAGGAGAAAACTATTATATTATATTAACTAATATTTTGTACGTAAAAATAAATCTAAAATCCCATTTAAGGTCATATTATGAAATTTGCCTTAAGATATCCCCCCCCCCCGCCTAATAACCTGGGAACATACGTGTGTATTCGTTTGAAACAAAGTACACCATGTACATTATATACAAAAATATTTTTCGCATTATCGAGCGCTAATCCCCTTATTGCATCTGGCCCTTCAATTGATGTTACAGGATTATTAGTTACAGTAGAATATTAAAATTAAAGTGCTTAATTCTAATACAATTTTACTTAATACTTTCACGTAATGAGGATAGTATTGCATTTTTTGTATTTAGTTGCGTTGCTTTGTGCGCAGTCCGTATTTTCGGGGGGGGGGGCAGCCCACCCTGGCCCCTGCCTAGTTATGCCAATGACCATGTAATGAGGCAGCGATACTGTACATATACTCTCAGCAGAGCATTCAGACTTCACTCTTCATGTGAAGGACGACTGCATTGCGATAAGTCTAGTATGTATTGTGTAAAATGAAAAAATGTCTGTACGATCCGATAGTAGCAACATTTTGTTGTACTTAAATAACGACAATATACGCGTAATTATAAATCATTCTCAATTGTCAATGAACATTATTAAAGTATATTCATACCCCTAAGGAATGAACGAAATCAAAGAAATGAACAATAAGACGAAACATTTATGTTTAATGTACACATACCACTGTTTCAAAAATAGTCAAAAACCAATTTGTATTGTTCAATTTCAAAGGCACAAAGGTATCTATATTGTTGAGCAAATCCTTGATTCAGGTGAATTTGCTCATTCCAAAAACAAACCTGTAAAAAATCTACCAAAAATTGCAGCTGATCTCTGCATCGATCCCACAATTTTAGCAGTTACATCTGTCTCACGGTACTTTACTGGAGGCAGCACCAGCTAGACGTCCAATTAAAAGTTATAGTCTGCACAAAAGTAGCTGGTCATGCGAAAATTGCTTCCTCCATTCTAAATTACGCGAAATGAAACACGTGTCTATAAATTTATCACGGTAGATTAAAAATGAAACGATTGAACAGTTGGGAAGTATAATACGGATAACACTCAGTACTGTTTAGGGGCCAACTAACTTTATTCCAGCTGTAAATTTGTTCGCTCGAAGTGATTCCACACACTCATAAAACCTAGACTCCGACTGACACGCTAGCAAAAAATTATATTACAAGTGTTGAAGCAGTTAGACGATGAACGCCATACGCGAAGGTCCAACCCATGATAAATCATTTTTACACGTAATTTCCAATATTTTTGTGTAAATTCTTTTGAAGTAATCTAATGTTATTCGATTCGAACAATCAGTTACGTAATCGTTGAAGGCATAAATTTAGTGCAATTACATATTGGTGTAAAATTTGTATTTTTCATTGAAAATGTGTGATATGAGTGTTTCAATGTTGCCGTGAAAATTAATTGTGATGGAAGATTTATGTGGAATAGAATATTATAAACTATAATGAATTTGTTTTTGATCGAACATGTACTTTGCTTAATATTTTTTATTTGATGTGGATGAACAAAACAGAACGAAGTATTTACGCTACTATTATCTTCCTATACAGGATTCAGGTGAGTGGATTTCGAAAGGTTCTTACAATGTTTAGGCATACGTTTTCTAAATGATCCAGTCATTGCTGGGTTTTGTAGTATATATTAAACAAAGTAACATAAAAAATTTGTTCATATCTTACAATGTATATTAACACTATGTAGATCCACCAAGCAAGTCAAAATGACTTGTCAATACACTCTTACAACGACGATTAAAATGTTATGACAATACATTTTTTCAAATCTTTTGCACTTTTTATTACGATATGAAAGTGAAGAAATTAATCACTTTCTAAATTTCTAAATTTTCAAAAGTTTTTCACGTTTATCCACCGATCGAAGCAAATATGAGTTTATCGTCGGTAGTTCTAATGTTAATAAATCCCAGACTGATTGTTTACTCTATGCGTTACTTTTCTTTTATTATTGGTTAATTTTTAGTATTTAAATTAGTATTAGTGAATTATTCTTTTAGTATTTATTACTTTTCTTCACTTTTCTTTTACAAAAATCCTGAAAAAGTCGTTTTCTTTTAGATCGTTTAGATGAGAATGTACCCTTAATAACAGAACAATCATACGTGTCACCGCAAAACAGAATACACAGAACCTCGAGAAAACGTTCCGATAAGCCTAATATTACCCGTTTGGAAGAAAGCTGTGGCGTACCATCCCGAAACTAGCGGACAAAGATTCGAATTTGACCGTGGTCGAGTCGAATTGCACCCGGGCCTGCGCAACTGTGCGCCGTCGAGGAGGTCCGCCGCGAGAGGCGGCGGCGTCGCGACGCTGGCATGTGCCGCAGATTATGCCGCATTGGCACAACCGTCGCACGACACCGGTCGGTCGACGAAGCGTGGTCGGGACGAGAGCCCCGGAGAAGCAGACGAATGAGTCGATCGCGAGAGGATTAAAAACGTGAGAACACACGATGCGCCGCCGCGGAAGACGACGACGTCCAGCTGATTGTTCGTAAACGATCGGTGGAAGAAAACCCAAGGGGAATAATATAGTCACGCGTATTTCGACGGAAATAGAGAAAGACAAAAGGAAAGCATAAAAACACGTTCCCGTACGTGATCGTCGTCGGCTTACCAGGAGAAAAAGAAGCCCACAGGATCATGAACGTCCGACGGTTGCCCGGTTTCATGTACCACTACAAGGTGGTCACGCTGTTCGTGCTTTCGATACTCCTTCTGGTCGTCTACTTGCTCCTCCACTGGGGTATTATGTGCACGAATCTCGAAGCCTGGCGGCACGTATCCAACGTGGTGAGTCCTTTTCGAATCAACGTTACACACCGAGGGGGCAAATCTTCTTCTCAATATAGTCCGCGACTGAACGTACACACACGCAGGATATCGCACGGTGATCCTTGAGGGGATGAAACGAGGGTAGTGAAGTAGGGGACACGGGAGCTAGACGGGCACGCAGGCGCCCTCCTAACCCGCACGAAACCGACTGACGAGACAATACCTGCCAATGTTACGCTTTACACCAACAAATATCGGAAAGGAAAGCGAACCCGGTGTGTACACTTGCCAATGTTTACAATCCTGTCACTGACGACGAGTCCTGTTGTGCTCGCGAGAGTAAAGGACGCCGACGATTTTCGAAGTACACGGACGACACGACGACGAAGACGACTCGAGGGGACAACGTCCTCGTGTTACTAATTCGCTGCCGAGTTATGTTGGATTTTCACCTACTTTACCTTCGCCGCGTTCCGTGGATTTCATTTCATCGCGATTTCTGGAAAAGATAGACCGCTCGTGATGTGCATATCGTTTGTTTGGATTTTTTATATCGATTGTTAGGATCCAAGAACGTACAGCCTACTGTGTAGAAAAATACAGTGAAAATTGCGGAATACATATTTCTTGTGGAGTCTTTCATTTTCGCTGGAATGAATTGATTTTTAATCTATTACATCATAATATGTACGAACTTCACGCATACCTCGACACATTTTCCACGTACTTTTATAGTACAAAGTATGTAGAATTTATTTTTAAAATATTTGCTAATTATTATATTAATTTTGGAATACAAGTGCATAGCTATTTTCATCTTAGTTTAACCATAATTTTCGTACTTGCGGTCGAACATTTAAATATTAGTATTAAATGATTTTTAAGCTTTTATTTTTATTTGATGAATCTTTGGAACATATTGATCCTGACACCCGTCATTAGCAGATACAGAATTTCCATAAAACTTAAATAAAACACACTCAGATAGAAACAAGATAGAAACATTTGAATGTTCTTAATTTCTTTAAAACTGTATGTAGTTACAACTGTATGTAACATAACATGTATGTAGTATTATACATGTGTGAAGTACAATTTCATGATTGCATTCATCCCATTCAACGAAGTTCGATAGAAAAAAATCATTCATCACTCATGCATGAAAAGAATTTATTTACTTGTACATAATAGCTACAGTGGTTCAGAAAAAGTATTTTGCACACTCTGTTCTTTGGAGATAACTTTGTAATGAATAGATTGCGGATTTTTATGCAAAATAACATTTTCTAAAGTAATTTATGAAGACAGAAGAAAATGTAGAAATTTATTTTACCTCTTAAGTATGCTATTGGGTTCAGAATAAAGTAGAAAACTCGTTGCATCCGATGAATGTTTTCATCGGATTTGTGATATTATTTTGAAATGTTAAATTATTAACCTTTCTAAACGAACATATTGTGTCTGCGTTTAATGAAGTACTAAAAAGTGTAGATTATATAAATGTGCTACAATTTCACATAAATTTCTTTCCAACTTTAAAACTGAATGGGCAAATACTTTCTCGACCCAGTGTACACTTTTCAATACAAAATTTCAATAAATCCCCTACATTTCATGCTTCTCACAATTGCTAGTAAATTTAATTCTATGATAGAGTTTCAAAATATTCATCATCATGTTGATCAGTGGATTAACATCCCCTTCTCCTCATTTCTAGATAAAAAACGAATAATTGATTGCGGTTATAAATTCAATTTGTCGTGACTGGTTGCATTGTAGTATCCGTCAAATGCCAGCTTAGTGTCACTACTCATTACGTTCAGGCATTCAACTATCGTGCTGGAATATTAAGAACAAAACGGTTTACGTAAGCATTATCCAACGTACGCGAGGTCACGAAAAAATGTCAGTGCATACACCTCGTACAAAATTATCGTTAATGTTTTCCCATTCACAATTGCGGTCTAAAAATAAAATCGCACACGCTGTTTAAACTTGTCGAACATTATAAATAAAGTGACACGACCCGGACGGCAATCCATACCACGTTACTTTTTAATAAAATGGATGTGTTCCCCGAGTATTGAAATTATTGAATAGCGTTTTCTTTTTCAACCGTTGGACTTTATTACTCATGTGATATAAAATCATGAAAATGAAAATTATTTATTTCTTCTAAATTCTCTTTATATACCAAATTGACATATGTACGTATTATATTTGATTTCTGAACTGTTTGCCATACCCTTTATATTTTAACTTTGATGTTCTGTTATGAAAGTAAATCAGACGTAAGATATTGAAATAGAAGTAAAGTACCGTTTATATTTTCATAACATAAAACATTAGATGCTACCATTAAAACTGTGTGCAATGCTCCAAATAAATAATGCAGTAGGAAATAAATTAATTATCGTTCAATGGAGTATTAAATACTTTACGTGTTCTAACAAATTATTATATGTAACTAATTTTAAGAAAATGTAGTATTGTGTGTGTTGAATATAAAATATACAGTTTTTTAAAACTAAAGTTAAAGTAAACTTATTACTCTTTAAAATTATATTTGTTCTGATTTTTGGCAGACTTGAGGAAATGTGCATCACTTTTTATTTTTTCGGCAAATTCTGAACAACTTTCTTTCAAATTAAAATGTATAAATAATTCATTTTTTATAAATTCAAGCGAATATCTATTTCGTTAATTTCTCCATTTAGTTGACATGACACTAAAAATTCTTTCATAATATCCTGATGTCGCAGAAATTGAAAAGACATACGAAAATATTTTTAAAATATTCATACATTTATAATCAGCACTTTTTAAAATCATGTGCCATTTGCTACTTGATATTTGGGATCTTGTAAAATGTTCAGAACTTTGAAGAGACTCAAGGTTTTTTTGAATTAATGTTACTTCATCAAAAAGGTCATCCATATTCAAATCCAGCTTTTCTTTAGGCTTTGAATCTTCAACAACAACAACAAATTTCTGGTATATTGGAAATGAATTATTTAACAGACTTAAAATTGACAGTTTGCCAAATGTAGAATTTTCAGCAAAGTTAAAGTCTTCTTCTAAATAAGTAATTGCTGAAGAAAGAAATAATTTAAAGTCATTGATAATTTTTGGAGATTCAGCATTATCTAATTTTTTCAAATGTTGATGAACTTGAAAGCCAAAAAATTCCTCATCATATCGAGATTTAAGCTGATTTCTTAAGTTGGTCAAAACATTGAAAACATCTGCACCAGAAGTTTCATTCTTCTCTAGTTCTTCAACAGCTAAGCTGAATATCAACATTAAATGTTGTGAGAACAATAAATATATTTCAAGATTTTTAATTTCAAAATAAAGGAGATTTGGCATTTTTTATAAACTCAAAACAGGACAAAGACAGAAAAGCTAATTAAAAGACTGTCCTTTCCAAAAACGGACGGTTGGCTACCCTAGCTAAACCTCATTAAGAAGTCAGCGTTACACCTGGGGATCTCTTCTTGTCAGTGCCGAGGAGCCTTCGAACATTCATCGAGAATTTACTGTATATTCATCACAGTTTATTACAAAATGTTAACCCTTAATATATAAACGTGGGTGTTTCGTGTCAAAGCTAGTTCAAAAGATTCTGGGTTTCTTGAAAACTAATGGATAACGAACCTTTGCCCCTGTCTAAAAAAAGTTGTTGAATAGGTATCTTAATTTAGAATGTTCGAAGGTACTATATGAATTTTTTTCAGATATTAACAAAAATGATTACCCACTGAATAACCCATCTTTACACATTAAGATACCATACATATCTCTACATCAAGGATTCTCAAACTTTTTATATTTTGTACCACATAAATAAGAATCACAAAATATATGTACCACCACAAAAGCATTTCCCGATTAAAAATCAGTACATTCCAAATGGACTGTGTATAATCAAAGAATAAAACATTTTAAATTTCTTTTATTTAATTATATTCGTAAATGAAACTTTTACATTATAATAAAATATAGTAAATGATGGGTAATAATACATGAGCAAATATTAAAGAGATTTATTATTGGTGAGGATTACTACGAAGGATGAGCCTGTTTCATTGAACATATTAGATATTTATTATTTTCAAATAAATAAATCATATTTTTCAACAAAAAGGTTCAAAATATTTTTTGTAAAAATTGTACCACCAAAAATAACATAATGTACCATTAGTAGTACATGTACCACAGTTTAGGGTTAATATTGCAATTAACATTTGTAATAAAGTGTATACAGTAAGTTACTCATGCGTTACGGTGTATGAAGGTGCGTGATAGCATCTTATGGGAGCCGCCTTTGCTCGAGAAATTCTCTCATCATGGCGGTCACGAGTCACGACAACTAAAAATATCGCGTGCATGATCCGGTGTGTACAGATTCAGACGTCTACACACGCATGCAACCAAGAAGCATGTGCAAATGTACACAGGTATTGTACGTAACGGACGTGCCACCCACGCGATAAGAGAATAATTCACTTTTATTGCTCTCATTCCGACGATGGTTGAACATCCACGGATCGAACGTAAATGTTCTACGACATGGCTACACTGTCCACCCACGAAATTCCTTTCCTCCCAATTAATACGCGTTTTAATGCTTTGCAGACAAGGATTTTTGTATACGTCGCGAACACTTTCAGTGAAATATGTTGGGGCAATACAGCGTGCCTCACTAGGGTGACGCGTATTTACTCTTGAGAACAATGGTTTTCAACATTTTTCTCGCAGCACCCCGCAGAATGATTCCAATTAATAAAAAAATAATCTGTGAAAAATTTGAGCTCGTTAGGATAATGGGAAAACGTGCCCCCAGCTCTTAAGAGGCTATGCTAGTGTGACGGCTATATTATATTATTTATAGTATATATATAGTTGAATTATTTTTGTGTCACTCTGTAGTTCGTAACGAAAACTGATCCATTCTCTGTATGTTCGTAGTATTCTTTCTCTTCCTTCTCCTTATGCTCCCTCCACATAACTTCTCCACTATAAACTTATTTCATTCTAAAACAGGTTGTAGAACGAAATACGTAAAGGAAAACATTTTCTCGAGGTTGCAATGAACGTAAGAATACAAACTTATTCGAAGGTAAAACGTAACGCCGCTCATAACACTTTTTCCGAAAGAACTATCTTTAAATTGCGTCTTTATGTTTGTTGCAATTTTATGTCCACCCGCAGCAACTTGGTAGATTCAAATATCTCCTTCGTGTCGCATCGAATATGCAAATATCCCGAATGAAAGTACATAGTATGAATTTCAATGATGTTTTCTTAACAATGTTAGGTTATCGTATGTAAAAAGGAGGATTTTTTACTCGTATTTGAAATTACATTAACATTTAAAGGAATTGTATTGATCAAACTAAGATTATCTATATTTGCCAAAAGAATCTTATTCTTAAAATCGAATTTTTGAACATAAATATCTGAGTTTAACATAAATACATATATGTATTGAGAAGATTATAATAATTCTAGTCTTTTTCTGAATTACTTGTTTGTTAATAAATAAAAAGCCAAATGAAACAAAACTATAGGCTTATGGTAAATAAAGTTAATCGAAATAAAACCGCCATTCACTGTGCAACAATCGATTATGACCTACACTAAACGAAAGCAGAAATAGAAATATAAAAGTATTTACAAAATGATAAAACTAATTAATAATGTACTATTCATTTTATATCCTCTAATATTTTTTTAACTTCAACCAAAAGTAGCAAATTACAATTGTGTAAATCACACTGTATTTTAGGCCATGTTTATTACGTCATTAACAATTTCGTAATACCTTGTAACATTTACTGCATATTTGATAAGTGTGTGATTAATTGTTGAAAATATAGGCAGAATACGCTTGAAATCCGTTTGACGTGATATGTTATACTAGTCGAACCGCTGACTCCCAGTTGATACACGAAATAACATCAACTGAATGAAACAAACTTGTGAAACGGTTGAAGGACGCGCCTCCCAAGTAGAATAATCCATCGCGCCAGACGTAGCAATTTCACGCGTATTTTGTCCGTATTGTTAACAATTGATAACTTGGAAACGAAGCGTCGAATGCAATTTCGTCATTTTTGATCTTGGTCTTAGTTTGGCGTGTAGAATTCAACCTGTGAAAGTATCCTAAATTTTTACTAACACCCTGTATACGCGGCATATCACCCAAAATACATTCCTATTTGACTCACAATCAACGATGTTAAACGTAATAAGAAGAGCTTTGCTTTGCTACTAATGGGAATCATTTGACCGACATCATATTCGAACGATTTACGAATAAATTTTCTAATGTTAAAAAAAAAGTGTTTATTAGTATTTAATAATGATATTTATTGATTTATTTAATTATTAAAATAAATTAATCGGTTAGTTACTTTTGTTGCACCCTGTATAAACAATATTTAAAAAATGTGATTTTCTTCAATATTATGCAACATAAAAAATTGAGGTTAAATATTTTTCGGTTGGTCTACGATCCAATTTTAAGCGCTAAAATAGGAACATCCCCTAATAAGAAGCATCATATTGTAGATAACATTTTCGAATTTTTATGAAATTTGGTATTGCGTAGAACGCTGGTAAATATAAAACATATATATTTTAATCGACTATATCCGTACTGAAAGGATAAAGTACCAATTTCATAAAAACTATCGACAACTAATGAAAATAGAAATACATGATAAATACAGAAAACATTTAAATTTGAATAAATTAGCATTACCCAAACGAAAACTTTTCAATACTTCACATTTTTCTGTATAAGGTAAATGTCCCAGTGGTTGGACACGTCCTGGTGATTGGACACTATCGTGAATTTTTGTTAATATTAAATTTCTTTTAAATAATAGCGAACTTCAGGATAGAAAATAATAATCCTTAGTTATTTCTTATCATATTATATACAACAAATATTATCATTTAGCAATCATGAACTTGAGGCGACATAAGTGCCGTCGTAAATATTTCGCTAACATTGAGTGCGCATTTCTTAAGCTCGTAAATAATAAATAATTCGTGTGTTTCTATTCAATAAAAGTTTCTTGAACTTATTAAAGTCTCTAGAGTTGATACCAACTTTGTTTTAATAAAACCTTTTTCTTTTAATGTCGAAATTACCGAATTTATTTACTGGTACATGAGAATGCTGATTGCGTAGTCGTTGGACGCTTGTCCAGTCACGCGAGCAGCATCGAGCAGAGTTAGGGTATGATTTAAAAAATTATTTTCGTTATATTACAGTAGCTATTCTTGTTGCTTTTTATATTAATAACAACATTTAATTTTGGAAGCTCGTAGTTTTTTTTACATATTTCATACATAATAAATATCATTATTTTGTCACAACCATAACCTCAGCGATTCTCGTACTAAATATTCACTAAAAAACTAGAAGAGAAAAAAAAATTTTCTGCCAAATAAGTTGCAAAAAGTGTTAAGAAAATCAAAAACAAAAAAAAGAATAATTGTAATTTTGTTAATTTTGTTTAAATTTCTTTAATTTTGTTTTATTTAACATATATATTTTCTATGAAACATTTGTAATAAACTAAAGTTAAATCCACTATGTTCTAATGCACAATTACCTAAATGTACAAAGATAAATGTTTAAAAGCTATTACCAAATATATTATATAATATATACATAATAATAAAATGCAATTTTCCCTTAGTGTTATTTATTTATCAATTTATACTGTATACATTTATAGATGTAGTTCATAATTTGTATTATTTTATTAATTTATAATTTTGTTTCTTTTATTTATTGCATTAAATTAAATTTGTTGCGTTTTTATTTGAATTTTTACAACGTACAAGAAAAGTATCATGTTTTACTATTACAAATCAGCTATGGATAATTTACTGAATTTTATGTTCAAACACTGGGACAGTTAAATTTAATCACTCGCACATACCGTAAATTCCGTCCAATCACTCGGCCAAATAAACGCTTTTAGATATTCATAAATTTTAATACTTTTTTCCACGTGCACGCTTTCTTATAACGATTTGTCTGGAAGAAGTTTTGCTCTATCGATTAAATGTACTTTTTTGCCAATGTATATTATTTTAATATATAAAAAATCTTCGTAACCGCAATCTTCGCCTTAAACGTCCAACCACAGGGACACTAAAACTATTTATTATTAATCAAACTTTAACTTAAATAACTTATTAAATATAAATATTTACCTGACTTATATTTGTTTTGATGTAATATAATCTGATCCCTTTTAGAACATGGTAATGCTAATCCTTTATTGCAACTGTACACGTAGATCTTTGGAAAAATCTGTCTTCGTATGGACCAGAATTATTCGTACAACGCCTGATCATAATTTTCATTTCAGTGCAGCACGCACAGAAAAGGAGCTGCAATAGGAATTCTATGCGACCCGCTATGCGCAGAAAGAGGCATTCATTCGCTCGCGTGCGAAACGCTGCATGCTGGCAAAGAAGCGGTATTCTCTGCACACTGGGAAGCGACACGGCTAGTATTCAAAGCCTCGAGGTTAGTTTTCGAAATGCTCAACACAGTTAGAAAATCTCCTTCTAATAAAGTCACTTGTTTAAAGTATCCTCAAACCAACGTGAAATATTCGCATCGACAACGGCAGCGAAAATCGCGTGTTTGTCCACAGTCAAAATGCGAATTTTTTCGATGCTGCACAGTGGTCCATAATCAAAATTTAACAGTTCATATAGTTATTTAGTTTAAGCAATCAAAAATTTCTGAACTTATAAATTTTATTCAAATAGAAGTAGATAAAGGAACACAATTTTTATCAATTCTAGGGAGCCTTTTCGATGACGTCATGATTCGCCAACAGTGTTCCCATCTTCACGAAAGTCGGAATTGTCAGAAAATTTTTTTCTATTTTTGACTAAGATTGATGATACGAAAGGGTCCGAGGAGAATATTAATGCATGGAACAAATCTGCCATGGTTAAAAATAAGTTGATGTCAGCTTTTTGGAAGATAAAAGAAATTTTGTTTACCATTGGAACTGCTAAATTTTCATTCTAAACCACTGTGTGCCGCTGCGTATATTTCATGTCGATATGTGTGATCAATATCAGTCATTTTGATAAATGATACATATGAATTTCCATATTATGATATTACTAGATTGTATTTTTATAAGTAAATTCTAGTTGATATGCATTAATATAAAATAAGCGTGATATGTACATGCATTGCTATCACATTTGCCTTTACTCGTAAAGATTAAATACGAAGGGAAAAATACGAGAATATAATCAGATATTTCCAAATGCTATTTAAGCAGATGTTATGAAAAACTTGTTTAGAATGATAACCTGCATGTTTCAAGGTCATCGAAATCGGTGAGGATGGACCTCTTTCAAATAATTACCTAAGAAATCTGCAATTTGTCATTTTTACGGGTTTAGCAGTTCTAGTGTTAACAATTTCTAACGAACCGATCCTGATAAATAGACGAGCACAGAATAAACATTCAGAAAGTGTATGGAGTAAATGCCCTAGTAGCAATTACTGTTGGCATTTTGATGGGCTTTTGATGCACTATTAGTTGGCCAACAGTTAGAATTGTCACCGTTTTTTGCAACTGGGCCAACAATCATACCCAACGTGGGGCCCACGTCACTGTACTACGAAGACCTGGAGGTTTCTTTCTGTAGGGCCAATTGTTGAATATCCACGATAAACCAACAATAGGTAGACAGTTGGCTATACTTACTACACTTCCGTAAAATCCTTTACAAATATTTTAAGGAGTATAACACTGGAAATAATATTCATAATAATTACTTGTTATAACAATTATATACATGTATAAATTGTATATGTATACTCAACAGGTAAACAAGTGTTTTACCAGCAAAGTTACCTTTACAATTTATTATGTACAATTTATACATGTATCTAATTATTACAAATAATTATTATAAGTTATTTCCAATCTTCTGTCCTCCGACTTTATTTTCACAAAATGTTAAATGTCAAACGTGCTGCACTACAGTAACAAATTGTAGGTATATTCATAAATAAGAAAACAAAAAATCAATTTGAAATATAGTAACAAGTTTTTGGTTGTAGCAACGTTTCTGACGTTTTTCAGACAATATTTAAATGTTGGCAAATTTTGGATGAGCCAATGTTGTATTATCATTGTAAATTTCTTGTTAATTAACCATCTATAATAATTGTAGACCCAACATTGGATATTCGTTGGCAAATCGTGATAACTTTGTCGTCGTAGGCCCTATTTTGGGGAATTCTTAGGCAAAAACACTAACTATATCCCAACTAGCTCCCAACTGTTGAATACCGTTGGCCAACCATAAATGCTAGTAGGATGATCATCGAAGGGATTTCAATTTCAGAACGAAGACCCCGGCTGAGCAGTACGAGTCGCTCTACTGGATAGACGCGTCCGGCATAAAACACTTCCCTACCGAAGAGGACTTCAGCAACATGATCAAAGATCTGGTCGTTAGCAAACTGAACGTGACGCTGTCGGGGCATCAATTAGAAAGGCTAGCGCGACTTCGAACGCACCGTATCGAGACCGAGCCAACCAGGCGACAGCTCGAGATGGAGAATCTTTGGCCGTTGCTGCAGGAGAACGAGTACCTGATGAGCATCCTCTACGAGGACAGGGATATTTTTCCACAGCTGATTGGCACATGCGGGACATTCTACGCGGTCGAATATGTCCGACCGATAGAAACACCCACGACGGTGCTGGCCCTATCCGACTCGAAACCGGAATGGGCGAAACGGTTGAAGCTCGCGGTGATGATACTGGACCTGCTCGAGGAGCTCGACACCAATTTCCCTGAACCGATACATCTGTGCGACGTGAAGATAAACCACTTCGGTTTACCCCTAGGCGGACAGAAGCTCAAGTTTCTCGACCTGGACGCTGTCTACCCTAAAACGTTTATCAGCCGTATCACGTCGGACAAGAGGAGCTGCGTGAAACACGAGGACTGCGACTACTTCGACTGCAGGTCGGTCTGTTCGAAGAACAAGCGTTGCGAGTCGCCGGTACTGAACAATAACTTACAGGTAATTTATTGGGACAATTGCCAGAATTTAATGTAGGGTAATTGGATCTAATATTGCGTAGAATGTAATATTGCCAATCGTAATATCTCGTGAAGAAAGTGCTGAAATTTGTCGGCAATGAACGAAACTAATGGCCAGGCATGTGTAGAAAGACACTCTGTAATTGCAACGCCGTATGAGCTACGTATAGCAAATGGAAAGTATTTCAGCAAATCTTGATAGAGTAAATATTTATTGAACCGTGACAATTTTATATCATATTGGGTCATTCCATGCGAACTCGGACATTGTTTGTAGTAAAATTTTGGATTTTGTTGACACATGGATATGTCGCAGTCCTTAGTGATGAATAAAAGTATCTCAAAGGACCTCTGAAAATTTTTTATATTACAGTAGACTCTAACTGTATTGCCACTAAATATATTGCCACGCGAAACACTGCCCCTTCGCACGTACTTTCAAGCACACAAATTCGCTCTCCCACCACGTTGCGAACACCGGCGCACCAGCACGGAAGAACTTAGCGTGGAGGGGGCTTAAAGTTGGTTTGTTAAAGATGGCGTTAAAAGTTAATTTGTTAAAAAATCAGTCCCATTATTTAATCGCTGAACTGTGTAATACCGTTAACGCAGAGGAAATAAATGTCGATATACATAATTTTCATTTACGTAAAAATTGGTTTATAAAAATAAAAAGTCTGTCTAAACATCTGTAATCCAACAATGAATCGGATCGCAACAGGACATAAGAAATGAAACCGGAACGATAAGCATGTTGAAACGTTTTTCTTTATAATCTCCGATGAATTCACAGCATAGTAATAATTTGTGGGATTTCAGATCGTATGCGAGAAGATATTCCTCGGCTGGACTCTCTCAGGGACTATCATAATACCTGGACTACTTATGTCGGAGCACACCACCAGCACGTTGGCAGTACTGTTACGGCAATGCGCGAATCCAGCCGGTGACATCGAGCACTTGCCTCGCGCCGCTGTGCCAGATAGCTTAAAAACGCGGTTATATAATATGCTGCACGAAATGGAACAGGAAGTTGCTGCTTCTGTGTAGTTATTATTTCGTTGGGATTCTTTCAACCGAAACCCACAATCAGTGGCTGACGACTACTTGTCAATCAACACATATTCTTCAGAAGCTGCAATGTAAAAACTAAACGCGTGATATGGAAATGACTGCAATATTAATCGAAAGCCACTGATGATAAATAAGATGGCCTTTAGAGTACGAGTAGACTATAAGAATCTATAAGCACTTTTAATTTACGCGTGGATACACGTGAAAAATACTGTTGAATCGAAAAATTGAATGTGATACGTAGTTTTGATGGGGATGGAAGTGGTTGATAATATTTCACAGAAAAATTCAATCTCTAAAGACGGGGAAAGTAAGTACTTAAAGTTATTTATTTTTCTACTTATATATATATTACATTAAAACTAACTATACTATTGTTTATGATATAACTCGTTGTATTATGCATTGTGACAGTGGTTTTTTTTTTTCGAAAATTGAAAAATGAAACGGGACACTGAATCAAGTCACCTGATATTTACGAACTGACGACAGTCAATTAAGAAATGTGTACTACATACAATATACGTGCTACATATTCTTTAACTTTTGGACAACTGTACTTCATTTTGTGAAAATATATTAAAAGAAATATTTGTAGTTATTGTCTACTAACAAATGACAATAAGATAATACAAAGGAAATATTTGTTGTATTCCGAAACATTGTTGGGTCAGAAATATTTGCGATTAATTAAAAAAATATTAGAAAGCAAAAAGCAAATGTATTTGATCGATCCAATATTTAAAAAGTTTAATCAGTTTGATTGTTTTCAACATATTTGTATTTTCGTCGTAAATAATCATAAATTCTGCACGTCAAAAAGTTATACGTATTAAGTAATCCTCAAATTTTTACGACGTCATCTCCTATCGATTATTTTCTGTGAGACTGCAACCTCCTCGACCTCCTTCAAGCATCACACTTAATCAATTTTTGCAATTCAGGAAGCCTTCTAAAACACAGCACTATACCTATATAATTATTCGAACGATCGACAGATACAGAATGTCCCAACACGTAAGGTTACTAACGTGAAATCTAGTAGAAAATATAATTCTAATAGGAAGTATGAAGAAGTCTCAATATATCAATCACAAAAATTTAAATGGAATCTGTAGAAGATTTCTTATCCATGAATAATAAAAGTTTATTTTGGAATTTCGCTGAACACGGTTTCGATATAGCACGGGCGAATTACATACATAATATACAGGGTGGTCCGTTTAAGTTAGGCCACCTAAATATCTCTCAGGTTATTTTGATGCAAAAAATATTTGTTACGTAATGTTCATAGTGTCAATGGACGAATATCTGGCAAGAATATTTTTTTCCCAAGGTCATTTTTTTTCGGTGGTATCAAGGTCATCGGTGTTTTTTGACACATAACTACATTTTTTTTCTATTGCATCGTGTATCTGATCGAAAAATACATTCAGATATTTATAATAATATGACCTTGAAATGACGTAACAAATATTTTTTGCATCACAATAACCTGAAGAGGTATTTACGTGGCCTTACTTAAACAGGCCACCCTGTACCACAAAATGTATATTTTACAATTATTTAATTTATTTATACCGACTTATAAGACAGTTGCCTGTACGTATTACATGTACGTAAAAATGCTTCCGTAGTAACTGTTCAAAAATTACGCATCATGCTATTCACTCATGAGGCTGAAAAAACGTCTATACATGAAACTCGCGGAATGCAGTAACTAACAATGATAATAATTTAATATAACAGTTATTCAAAATGTGTTCCCCTTTTTGTAAGAATTTTTGATACCTTTATATATTATCGAATTAACGACACTTCCCTGGTCTTCCTACTGTTCTTTCATATCAGTGTATGCTTCCATTATCCGTACAATCGATTCTCCTTCTCTAGTAATCGATCTTAAATAAGCTTCGTCTCTCAATTAATTATTTATTATTAATTTCATCAATGTATTCAACCACTGACAAATAATTTCCTAATGTCTTAAGTACCCATACTACTATACTATATGTATATATACTTAACCTTAGAATGGCCAACGCTTCTTAAAATTGTGCGAGTAGCTGTGACTAGATATATTTAGACTTCTTCCATACAACTTCCATTCTTTTTTTATCACTTGGGAATATGATTTTGTTCTTACAGCAATTAATGTTTCGAACAATAGCGAAAACCTTAGTCATAATGGACCTTTACTGTCGTCTAACGATTAACAAAAGTTTGAATGAGATCACTATCATATGGTTCCCCCAAAATTAAGAATATAGTCGTAAGTAGAACGATATTGTAAGAATAATGGTTCAATGAAACATGTACCAATTGTAACAATCCAAACATTTACTACCGGTAACGTATTTTTCAAAAACTACGTAAATACTTGATAGTATTTATCATAAACGTCGTTAATGGCCTTATATTTTGAGACACCATCTATATTTTTAATATCTATCAATCGATATGATTCTGCTTTTTAAATCCGTACTTTCAATCACAAACAGTAGTAAAATGGGAATCAATTATTTAGAACATCTTGGGACCACAAGTTTCTGTTCTGATTAACACGTTCATACCCACATCTGAATTTTGAGAACGGTGCTCTAGACATTATGTCTGTATCCGATTAATCTCGTTACTCGACATATAATTGTCATCGTAACATCATAAACGACATGTATAAAAGGAATTATTATACTTCTTGAGCTTGAGGCTTTGAGAATACGAAAGTCTTGTTCGAATGAAAGTTATTATTCATTATCTTATGTAAGGAATTCAATAAAATATTTTAATTCTTTCATAAGATTCTTATGCACAGGGATTACTCCATCAACTTTATTTCTTTAATCGAAATCATGTTAATCGTTCTTATGACCTACGATTTATTTGGTGTTCTTATAAATATAGGGAACAGATTCTATGAACAGTTAGTATTCTCAGTGAATATACAACAAGCAAAAACGTATGTACGCATACCCAGATAGCACATGGCGACTTGAAGACGTCCATTTTACGGCTCTTTTAGGTCTAAGCCGCCTTTAAGCCGTCTTCAAGGAGTCATGCGTTATCTGGGTATCAGTTGTATTGTTTTGGTATTTTAAATTAAGAACATTATTTATAGCTAATAATCATAACAGTATTGGATAAACCAATCCTAAAAAAATAGCAGAAAAAGGACGTGTTAAGAAACTACTGAAAACAATATTTCCCTCTTATACATAACTTTTTACTTATTTTCCTTAGTAATTTCTTTAAGATTTTTCCAAATACACAATAACTGGATTATCCAGAATACCGTCGTGTATCCAGAAAAAATAATTTTGATTTTTAATGACGAGAAAATTAATCAGTATTCTTCGGTAACAAAATTTGTTATGATAATAAACATTTAATCATAGTATTTCAAATACACTGAAATTACACAAATTAGTCAAATCGCGAAATGAAGGATGAATAATTTATGGAGAAAATCTAAATCAATTTTTTTGCTATTTTCTAGTTTTGTTATGGTAAATAATAGTATAATTAAACTTAAAATCTACTGTCGTTCGAATAATTACAAACAAAACTGTATATTTATACAAGTACGTCTGGATCGACGCAAGATACCGATACAAACGAATCGATTTTTCATAGTTATAAAGTTGTTCCTATGAAAAAGATCGAATGTTAGAGCTTAACTGTCGACTTAGCCTTGTAAAGCCTTGTTAATTGTAAAAGTTTATTTCGACAGATGGTATAAATAAAACCCCGTGCACAATAAGCAGCCCTCGAATCAAAAGAGGTAAGAAAAGAATCGAAGGATTTCTAAGTTTCTATAGATTCCAAAAAACGAACAACCTTTGTACTTTAAAACAGTAAGAAAATAAGTGACCACTAGAGGCTAGTGATAGTATTAAGGAAAAAATGTAAAACCAAATATAATTAACAGCGAGCACAAATATGAACTACTTTCACTTAATTGCAACCTTATTGCAGAGTACATACATATGTACTATAAATCTACTCAATACGCTTACATAGAAGCCAAATTATAAGAATTATTAATTTTAGTACACGCCTATACGACTTGAGGCATTTAAATAACAATCTTAATACTGTTTTAGTATTGTAGAGTTCAGAAATTTCTTTCTGATACTTGGTCATTAAAATTTAGTAAATAGCAATAACTTTAGTAAGTTTAGCATTAGATATACTTAGAGTTTCGAATTTACAAGAAATTCAATGAATTTACAGCGTTTAAGAAGACACTTTTAACAGCAAATCATTTTTCATTTATATGTACATATATTGTTTGTCTATGTAATTTCACAAAACAAAACAATAAATCTTATTTTCAAAACTAAGTAAATACTTATTACGTTTAAATAGTAGGGCTTTCCATTTAAATCGTTATTTCGATACCCTTTTGTAGCAATTAAAATAAAGAAAATGATAAATTTGAAAATCTAAAGGGGTACAAAATTTATTTAAATGTTAATATTCTGTAATGTATATATGACTAATATTCTATATTCCGTAAATTGCCTTATGTAAATCGTATTCCATTCCACATTTATAAATGATACCAGACGACGACATTGAAATTATAAGTAAGCATAAATATACTTTTAATATAAAATATTTATGAATTGCATTAAACATGGCATACAAGAAGATCCTAGCCTAGCTAAGGAACACAACAGATCAATGTTACTACTCGCGGATATGATTGCATATCCGCGTTCACTGTACTCGCCAAATTTAGCACGTATATAACCAGTCGCCCGTGCCGCTTCGGACCTATCGTCCTACGGCATGATTGGGGACCAGAGGAATAAAAAAGCATGCGACTCACCCGATGATAGAAGGGCTCCGTATAAGACAAGAATCTTGAATCAAGTGAAGCTTTGCCCGTGGACATCTTATTGAATACTCAGTGATGAATGTGAGCTTTACTGGACGACATTATCCTGAAAATCCTAACGAAAAAAATTATTAGTTACTACTCTTTTAACACGTTAATATTCTTTAATTCTTTCTCATTTAATTTGTAATTAAAATGATTCAACTTTGTATTAATAACAATTGAAAAACAAAAATTGGATACTTATTAATTTAATAAAATTCAGTCATGAAGAAAAAGACCCTACTGGAAATTCATTTTTAAAGACAAAAAGACTAATCATGATTCTTTAATAAGATATTTGACTCTACATATTGAACAACCCACAGGTGATCCCATTGTCAAAGCCATTGCAAGACACATAACATAAGTCTAGCAAACATGTTACTTTGACTCAAAAACCTACCCATCGCAAAATGTCTTCTTATACATCATCTCTAATATAATGTGTGTATGGAACACTTTTTTTTAATGCAAAGTATCAAATTTTTCAATCATGCAGAATATGAAATTAAATCAAGCTATTCAATGATATTCTCATTGGATATCATTTTGTATTATCATTGTGTGATTATATTGGTTAGTGCAAGGAGGAAGTCTGAGATTGTCACATTCCTCCACTAACGTTTGATTCATCATATATGTATTCAATATATTCTAGCCTACAGAGATTCATATATACAATCCACTAAAGGATACGCATTGAATATTAAGAGTATTAATACTGCTTTTTCCAATTATAAAATGTTTATTAATTGTATCAGTAGTAGAAAATGCTATGTATAGGAAGACCCTACCCTACCTAAGAAATACAATTGATCAATGTTACTACTCGAAGGTATGATAGCATACCCACGTTCACCGTACTTGCCATATTTAGCATATTGTATACAACCAGTTGCCCATGCCATGTTGGACTAATTATCCTATGGCATGATTAGGCACTGGAGGAGTAAAAAAGGCATGCAAAGACTCACCCGATGATAGAAGGGCCTACAGTTATTGCTGGTGGAACTTCACAGTAGGATGTCCGTTTAGTGTTTGACTAAAAACAAAAAAACAAGACAAATTTATTATACTCAGTATTATTATTATTGATAAATGTTACACACTAATTATTTAGTTTATAATATTTATGTGTTATGTTGTAGCATAATACATAACTATGCTGTCAGCATGAATGTTTTTTTATTTAATCCACATCCTGCTTTTGTACATATTCAAAAAATCCTTACAAGAACCAAAATTGCATTAGTTATGCATACTTTGATAGAAAGCATGATAAACTATACAGCTTGTATTAATCAAATTTATATCCGAAACTGTATATAAATGCAAATACAATAATCTCATACGGAAATACACGAGAAATTTTTTATTTTAATACAATTTCACGACCGAAATACAGTAAATTACAAATATTTCCAATTTGAATGTCTCGAAGTATTGTTGTTTAAATTTTTTAACATTGAAGGAAGCCATTTTGAATACTTCAACTAAATATATGAATTGAATAAAGTGCTCGAAAAAATTCTCATTCGATCTTAACACAAACTACGAAATCACGATTATTTCACTTACGGTTAAAAACAATATAAAAATAAGTAATGAAGTGTCACTTTGTTGTTATAATAAATGTTATAATAAATGTTACAATAACTTACCAGAATTCATCAATTTCCCGCCGAATTCCGTTTGAAGAGACTCAACGATACTCAGGACGGTAGTGCATACTTCCAAGCCGAAACTCTGGAACAGAAAATAAACATGCATTTTAAGTAATTACACAACGTTAAGAATAGTGACGTTACACATGAACAATTATTGAACTCGTGGTGTGTCGCAAAGATTTCAAATTGAGTCAGAAATACGTAAACATTATATTAATTGGTATACAGTGCAACCGAAAAGTAAAGCGATACCTACGATATCGAATTAATTTGGGATTATTTAGTCTATATTGAATAATATTAAAGGACAGTAACGACAGAGAGCTAATGAAGGTACTAGTAATTAATATATATGAATAAAGATGAAAAGTAAATGTCAAACACTCACTTTAGCACGAACAAACGGCTTCTACGTCTTATTGCGTTAACTTCTTCGAGACGAATGACACTTCGGTTACACTCGGCCGGTCTCGAGCAGTTCATTCGGCTATCTTCGGGGGATTGCGCGTAGCTGATTGGTCAGGTCAGAGCGGTAGCTTCCCGCCTAATCGACTTGGCGGGAAAAAACATGTACCCTACTCCAGTTTAAAAGCCGAATGTAACACTTGAAAAACATAACACCAAAAATATATACATATGTATTTTGTCACTCATCTAAAAGATAACTTATTAAATGTCCGTTAACATGTTTATAGAGAATACTAAATTTATTCAGATTTTACTTGATGGGAAGCATGATCTGGGAAACTAACATATCTCTCATTCTTGTAAACGAAGCCAATGTCAAGATTGATAACAATCGAAAGCCGATCGAAAAATTCTTACTTTCTAACAAATTTGTTCGACACTTATGCACAAAACATAGTTAAACTCATTTAAATAAAATAATTAATATTTAATATCTCTCGCGAATACTAAGACGGGATTATTGTTTTATCATTTGTGATAAAATAGAAATTATTTACGTGTAAAACTTGATTACCATATCTACATCTTACATGTTACAAGTATTAAAGGACAGTAACGATAGAGAGCTAATGAAGGTACTAGTAATTAATATACATGAATAAGGATGAAAGGTAACTGTCAAACACTCACTTTCGCACGAGCAAACAACTTCTGCGTCGTATCGTGTCAACTTCTCTGAAACGAATGACACTTCGGTTACATTCGGCCAGTCTCGAACGATTCATTCGGCTGTCTTCGGGGAATCGCGAGTAGTTGATTGGTCAGAGCAGTAGATCCCCGACTAATACGACTTGGCGGGAATATACATGTGCAGTAATCCAGTTTAAAAGATGAATGTACCACTTAACAAACTCCTTGAAGAATCTATATACCTGATACAACCATGAGACAGCGGGTAATTGGCGCATGTTAATTGATCAGTTTCCGGAAATTTGGCCCAGTTTATAGAATAGAATTTTTCTCTTACCTCAATTTGTATGAAATTAAATAACAATACATTAAATATTTTCGACAATAGAATATTGATAGCAATCACATTTTCGATGGGATTTGTTAAACATTCTATCAGCTATTTTGTAATGCAAATAGTTATTACTTATAAGAAGCAGAAATCGAAATATACGGAAACTTGTGAGATATGGATCGTTTTATGCACTTTAACCTGCAGTAAATTTTATTTTATTGTAAATTATTAAACAACGACCATGTCTTAATGTTCATGACGATTGTTAACTAAATATTATGTAATTTAAATGTGTTTCAATAGAGTTTTATGCGAGAAATACGTAAAAATTTGTAGCACATTAGGAATTCTTCGATCGACGTTTGATTGCGATTGTCCTTGACAATAACTGTTATAATTTTGAGCATAGAATATTTGGCTTATTATATATATTATTAATATTTAACATATACATTTCATTTTGTAATTTAATATTAAATAATCATTAAAATACTTAAATATCGATTGCAAATGCATTTAGATAAAGTGAAATTGAGTTAATCTGTAATAAATTAAGTTGTGCAAATTTACTGCATTTTTGACGTGAATCTGCTATCAGGGTATTAGCAAGTCTATTCGATTTCTGACGTCAAATCATGTTACCAGGCCTGTTGTATTTCTGCCACTAGTTTACTGACAGAACTGATGTAGGAAATCTGTACGTCAGGTATGCAGCAGAACCTAGTAATATCTGGTTAGAGTAGATGGCTGACAGGCAGAGATGGGTTGAAATTATCATACATGACTTTGATTCGTTGATTCTTATAAAGCCGCCGAATCGTATCTTCATCTTTGTAAGAATCAACTAATCAAAGTCAAGTATGATAATTTCTAACTACCTCTGCTGACAGGGTGGTTTAAGTAGTTTCCTTCAAATCACTAGAGAAACAACTGGATTATATAGCAATGCAATTGATTATACTAGGGATTTTTTCCTCAGAAACTTGCCTACTATATACTTGAAGTAACATACGGATGAACCGTTCCTTCATCGATACGTGCCACCGAAGGTTCCATTATTTAACGACACCTTCTTCCCAGTCTATCCGTTGATTCTGTACTATATTAAAAATGAGAATCGGTGATTACCCTATTGAATACGATCCGGGAAGACATGGCCCATATGATCCTGCTCGATATTACGGAAAACGTGAGTTTTTTCATTCTATCTCGAAGTACTCGTTTAATTGAAGATATTTAAATTAAATGAAAAAATGTCATACATTTACAGCTGATACACCCTTCGGTGAACTGAAACTTGCTGAAATACCCTCATGGTTGGGACGACGTAATAAGGGAATTCGTCCCCTCATGGCATTAGGTTCCCGAGGTACATACATGTTTAATATGATAAAGTGGCCATATTGAGCCTTAAACAATTGCATAACAACTGCTTACTTGAAAATTTGTTTTTTATTGAACTATTTGCATTATATTGCTTAAACATTAAGTTCATTAATAGCGCCATAAAAAGTTTCTTGAAATATTTAATATTTTATGACAGAATATTATATTATATTATATTCTACTATATTATATTATAAATACTCTTATTGAAGGAACAAATACAGTTTTCAACTCATTTTTTAATGTCTGTGACTGTATCATCATTGATGTTTAAAAGGTCATTTAAAAATAATAAAAGTGGATGTTTATGCATATTCAAAATTTCATAGATTAACACATTCCTTGTCACAAATATTATTTTTGATGCGTATTAATTTTGTTATTCAGGCCAATTGATGTACTTTGCCATTAACAGACAAAGTACAATGAAATAATTTGTCTTATTACTAACTCGAACTGTATTATATATGGAACAGTTTTGCAACCATACACCAATTGTCGTACATACAGCATGAGCTTTCAGTTGTTACAACATATGTAATCCATGCAGTTCTCTTTAGTTGTATCTTTACATTATGATTCCTATCCACTTTTATTTTGTGTATAAAATGTTAGAAAGTTTACCAATAATAATGTAAATAAGTCAATCCTGTCCAAAAAAAAAAAGGCTATAGGCTGGTAAGAAGGTTGAAGTACCCTTACACCAGATTGAACAATAAAAGGGACCATTCGGTAGCTTACCAAGAACAAACATCTTTACTCATTCTTAACCCCTTATTTCGATTGGGCAGGTAATAACTGGAAAAAACCAGTTTGTCTGGTTTGCTCTATTTTCCCTATTAAATTGCATACAAAAAGTAGACAAAAAAACTAATGCATTGTAGTTACCAAGACACGTATTAGAAAATTTTTCCTATACTTTTATTGAAAGACCTAATTGTAAAACATTAAAAACACTAAAAAATGCAGAGAAATATAGATTTTTTTATTGAAATTTTAAAGCAAATAGATTTATATTTTTACCCTAACGATGTATTATTATTAATAATCCTTAATTTTTTTTTAATTTTTTGATTTGGTGCGCAGTAGTTGTAAAAATCAAAAACCGACTTTTTCGACGTCTTTTCCCAGAAAAAATAACTTATTGTTAGACTTTGAATTTATGCACATATTTTCTTTATTTAGTAAGTATATTGTACAATGTTAAATATTTCGACATTGAACAAAACAGCATATAAATTAAAGAAGTTACATATTTTTTTAAATAGTTGGAAAATATTTTTTTTGTTGTGATTTAATTTGAAATTGAAAAAACATATTATTAATGTGATAAAAGTGTGAGTATGTGCAGGGCTCGAACGCAAATCTGAAAAAATGTCGGAGCCGCTTGACCGCACACACACATACACAGGATAGTAATTAAATTAACTTCTTTAATTTATGTACTAGTTTGTTAAATGTAAAGATATTTAAGATCGTACAATATATTTATTTAAAAAAGGAAATACAAAAATTCAATGTATAAATTACCTTTTAACGGAAAAAATCTCGAAAAAATCGGTTTTTGATTTTTACAACTACGGCACACCTTACCGAAAAAATCTGAAAAAAGATTAAGGACAGTACTTATAATAATACGCCGATACTGTAAAAATATAAATCTAGTCACTTTAAAGTTTCAATAAAAATCCGTATGTTTCAGCATTTTTTAATGAACAAAGACGGATAATCGATTTGTCCCCAGTTACTACCCTCCTGGTCGAGATAGGGGATTGAAAATTTGTGCAAGTTGTTTTTTCTTGGTAAAACATCACCAGTTCAATTTGGTGTAAGAGAATTCTGACCCTATTATCTCGCAATATCCTTTTTTCCATATCCATACTTATATAACAGTGGTGGCCAAACCTTGTCAGAATAGGAACCATACATTGCATATCAGAAATCATGGAGAGCCTCATCCTCTATTGGAACAGTATTAAATTGTGAGTTACACTGTCAATCTGTGTGTATATCACACTACCTAATAAAGTCAGCAAACCTACTAAAATATCATATCACATACGATCATATATCCAGTTTATAAAAAAATAGTGTATAAGTATATGGGACCTGCAATAAAGGTCTAAGAGGACCCGCAGTTTGGCCAGCATGATTATATAACATGTTTGAAATTCTAAAAAATTTTAATTCACTCCTTTGTTGGAAAGAATTGATTCATTATAATTTATTACTTTTACTACATGTAATCTAACATTAAAGATCTGAGATAAAAACTAAGTATGTAAGTAGCGTTATTGTTTAATTACAGCTTTTTGGCGATGGCAGCATAAACATGTGCAGCCTAGGAAAGCAGGTATAGCTCCACTGTTCCAAGTTGCTGTTGGATCATCCATCATATTCTATGTGTTCAATTACTTACGTATTAGTAAGTATACAATTTGAAAAACAAACATCAATTTAAATATTATGTAAGGACCGTCTAGTAACGAAATACGTTTCAATTTTCAGGGGGTCACAGGAACTACAAGTACCATTAGGACATTACTACGTCATTGATGAAGATATATTCAGTCAAGATAGAATATTTCAATATATTAGTTAATCAATTTAAAAATTAACAAACTTACTACACTTGTAAAGTAAAATAAATATTATTAAAATGTAATTGAGTATATTGTGGCATTAACTGAACTAATTGTACGAGTAGTTTGTAGGCAATAGTAATGTAAAGTTAAAAACAGTGTAACATCTTGAACTTTACTACATTAACAATTTGAAACTGACAGTTACTTTCGATTTTTGAAACAGTCTTTTAGTTTAATTACAATTCATCATACTATTTATATTTAGTGTGAATAGTTAAAAAATTAAAATCATGTTTTTGTAATAAATATCCACCTTAATTTAAACTAATTCTCCTATTAACATTTTAATGTTAAATATTCAAGTCCGTACTGAAGTTAACCAACATAAGATTAATAAATAGCTGTTTTACCATTAAATTTAAAAATAAAACAATATGTGATTAATTAACAAGGAATACGATTACATACTAAACTTTATTATAATATTTCGAGAATTTTCACAAACTTTTACAGTCGTAAAACTACGACATGTGAAATTGCTAAATAGTTCAAAAAAGTTAAAAATAGCTTACAAATTTCGATACTTTCATTTTTTTACAATCTGAAGAATTGAACTACTTCGAAAAGTATTTTACTTATGGTAAGTAAATATAATTCTGCTAAAGATTTTTTCACACTGGAGACTTAATTCATTGTTGCAATAATAAATAAAGTAACTAAAGAAACATTTCCAAATACTGCAAAATTTCGGTCAAATGAATAGTGGCAATACGTAATGTAATTCTAATTTTTTAAAATTTGGTGTTACAAGATCGAAAATGATTTAAATAGAGTCGTGTTCACGTCACTATAGCGCGAGATTTGAACTTACCAGAACTTATTCTCTTCATCTTTAACATAATTACACTATGAATTTTAAGCATTTATAATGTATACAACAGTTTACAAATAAAATGAAAAACTGGTTGAATCAGATTAGTTTTTATTTTATTTTTAATTTAACAAACCCCTTAATTAGCAGACTAATTTTCCATTATAATTTTCATTAAATCTGTACAAATTGGAAATTGACATAATCATTTGCCATCTAGGTGATACAATAATCCTATTTTAATTAATTTTTAGACGTACAAACTGGGACCTGAATTCTAATTTTTAAATTAGGGCAGGAATAAGGATATATAAATTGATTTTCAGGAACAAATTATAAACGATCGACCTAAAACATGTAATAAATCAAAATTATTGATAGCTCTATAGGTTGAATTACTTTCAGATACTTTAAAGCAAAGGACTTTTTCATAAATACTAAACACATACTTAAGATTTTAAACATCTCTACTTGAGATAGACAGAATTTATATGAATTGAAAGAAAGAACTTACGCTTGGAAAAATTATACATCACACATTTTGAACACAATATTGAATGAATCATAAAACGCCGATATAATATCATGGTGTTAAATGACACATAAATTTTGTTCTAAATATAGAATTGCTAAAATAACACGCAGAAAAATTATTCTCAAATCTGAGTGCAGAAATGATTAAAATAGATACTTTTTACAAAAAATTCATTGAAAGAGTAATGTGTATCATGAAATAGTAATACATTCGATATTCTTAAATTATATATTACAAATTATAATTCTGAGGAAAATAATGAGCTCATCGAGAATGTGTACGGGGCATAAATCCGTTCTGTGCACGAACTATGCGCAATTTGATGTGATCAGTGCACGAAAGCGTTGATTGGCCAATCGATACATGAGATGCGCGTAGCCCGCCAATGAGAGCAAAATCAGGGGACAAAAGTCAGGTTCCCCTGCAATATGGCTGTCAGTATAAATTTGATGCTTGTAACATGCGTTTCTCTCCGAAAAATTTGACAAATAGTCTGTCTATCTGTCGACTTTTTCAAAATATACAGCGTAATGTGATTTTTGAGGAATCAATACAGTGGGAAACGGCTATGCGGGTTAGCTGAAGGATAACGATTAGATACACTATATTTTAAAATCAGGTATGTTTAGCTCACATTTGGATTACTATTTATTTATATATCCATATTGCGTTTCTTCGCAACATTTTATTCAATATTGCACTATGTTTATGTTTTCTTAATTGAAATGTCCTATGTGGTTCTTTAATTTTACGATGCCTGAATCGACGAACTCTTGAACCGACCGAAGAACGCGTTCTCGCAGATGTCATCTATTACCTCTACGTCGTCAACTTAACTCCTATAGACTTTCGTTTTTGACGTTGAATGTTACATTTTGTTGCCTAAAGTACTGCTATCGTTCATGAGACAGGAAATATATATCATGCAGATGAGATTAGCATTTCCTGTACTCCATTTTATTTTGCACAGCTGGAGCTTTTAATGTACTTCCTATTAAACTTTTGTTATAAGAAAACTGCATTTATTAATTAATCTATGAATATTTTACAAGTGCATGATTGTTGGAGTATTTATATTAATTGCCTATAAATACTGATATCAGTCTATTATTATTTTTTAAAGACTGAATTTTACGGTATTTATATGGTATACATATGTATAGTTTTATGTTCAATTTTAGGTACACAGCTGTTCATCAATCAATATCACCTGCAAACATGACATCGAGGTAAAATATCGAGTAGTGTAAACATTTGGTTTAATCTAATACTTATTTATAAAAGTATAGCAATATTAGTTTTCACTTAATACATTGAATTACATTAATCAATGGCGTGTAATAAACTAACACATTTTTGAATTTTATAAATAACAGAAGCAATAAAGATAAGAAATATGTATGTCTTGTCAACTGTTAATGGTATGACTATTCTTTGTCTTTGGATAACAATTAGGAAAATTTAAATAATAGCCTGTATGTTCTATGTAATATATTGTATTAACAAATCAATAATATCATGACATAAATAATAAATTTCCATAGGCTGGATAGATTGTTCATTTTATTGGAAACTGGAACAAATGCAGTGACTAAAAAAGCTGCAGCACAACAGCTAGGAGAAGCCCAGAAATTACATCCTCACGATTTACATCATTTATTAGCAAGAGTTTCTACTTTATTAAAGTCTCCACACTGGGATACAAGAGTATCTGCTGCACAAGCTGTACAAGCTATTTTAGCTCAAGTTCCTGCTTGGGATCCACAACCTATTAAAAAGGAAGATTATAAAGGTAATTGATTAATTTAATGTGTTGTTTAATAATTAATAATTCATTATACTCGGCCACTGATTTATTTATCTTATTAATTAACAAAAGATGGAGAAGCAAAAAAACATGTACCAAATAATAGATTAAACTTGGAAGACTTTGATATGGAAAAGGTCTTAGCTCGTAGCTCACACCTTACTGGATCAGAAGGCAGTGAATATGATTTAATTGGTATCGATGGAGAGCAAGTACTTCCTGTTCCTCATCAAGAAGAAAAACTAATTGCTGCGAAATTAGGTCTTCATCCTCAATTAATGGGTGTTGATACCTCAGAATTATTTACTGTTGAAGACCTTACACCAGTAGTGTTACCACCTGTCTCGAATATGCAAACCAAGATCTCTGTAAGTGAAACTCTGAAACAACCTAGTGGACTAAGTAGACGTGAAATCAACAGAGCTAGGCGTAAGGTAATATATGACTTTATTATCTATAATATATAAGTATAATGAAACATTAATTTTGAACAGATCCTACATATTAACACATTTTTAATGTAGGCACGACAATCAGTTTCGAAGCAACGTTCGCGAGAACCAGATGAACATCGCAGCAATGAAGATTATCATAACAATTCAACTGCTCAATCACCCATTAATAGTGCAGGAGAATCATTATGTAAAAAAATAAAATTAGAAGAAGTAATCTCAACAGAAATAAGTGTACCTAATAGTATAACACAGACTGAATCAACGAATGGAGTACCAGACAGTACTGGTTGTTGGCCAGACTCTGTAATAGATTGGCCTTTGGAATCATTTGCGGAAAGTCTGTGTCAAGACTTATTCAGTCAGAAGTGGGAAGTCAGGCATGGAGCTGCGACTGCGTTACGAGAACTTGTAAAACTTCATGGAAAAGGTATATAAGACCTTAATAATATTTACTAGCACTAACGTAATAGAAATGCTTAATTTTTTGTTTTATTAACATTTAATATAGGCGCAGGAAAATCGAGGGATCAGACAGCAGAGGAGATGGAAGAGAGTCACCGTCAGTGGATTATTGATGCTGCTTTGAGATTGCTGTGTGTGTTGGGATTAGATCGATTTGGGGATTTTGTATCCGATCAAGTCGTTGCGCCTGTACGCGAAACCTGTGCTCAAGCATTAGGTTCTCTTCTGTTACTAGTGCCAAATCAAAAAGACAGTGAAAATAAAAATATAATAGGAATTATTTCGGTCATGCTGAAGCTTTTAGAACATGATGAATGGGAAGCAAGACATGGTTCATTACTTGCACTTAAATATTTACTTGCTGTACGAGACGACCTATTGGACAATATACTACCAAGGGTTTTTCCGGCCACAATGAAAGGTCTTTCTGATCCTGTTGATGATGTAGGCGCTGCTGCAGCTAGTGCGCTTATACCAGTGGCGTCTGCTCTCCCGCGATTATTAGAGCCATCAGAATTAGAAGTTATTGTAATTCGTCTGTGGGAACTTTTACGTGAGCAAGATGATCTAGCAGCGGCATGTAATAGTTTTATGGGACTATTAGCTGCTATACTTTCACTACCTACTGCACGCGTTTGTCTTACACCTCAGCCGTTATCGCAGGTAATGAATGATACATCACGAAATCTATTTAACCATATAACGCCTGAATTTTCGTTTTAAAAAAGAAACTTATTCTTTATTTTCATATTAATAAACATATAAATTCTAAAATACATCTAGAAATGCAGGGGTTTACTTTTGTTTTTTCATATGGTACGAAATCGTCACATTTGTCCTTAGATTAACTCCATGAATATTCTACTTTCTGTATTACACAGGGTGTCCCAAAATAGCTTCGACTCCCGGAAATGAGGGGTTCCTGGGATGATGTGAAACAACTTTTTCCTTAGCAGAAATGTTATCCGAGGCTTTGTTAACTAGATATTAACGAAAAACTCCGACGAATCAGAGCGTGAGTCTGCCGGCCGAGCTTCCGCGATAGTGTTAGCTACGTGCTGCGATTGGTAGCCAACGCTACCGCGGGAACTCGACTAGCAGACTCGCGCTCTGATTGATCGGAGATTTTCGTTAATATCTCGTTAACAAAGCCTCGGATAACATTTTTTCTAAGGAAACAGTTGTTTCAAATTATCCCAGGAACCTCTCATTTCCGGGAGTCAAAGCTATTTTGGGACACCCAAACGTTACAAAAACGTCGCGCTTGGCGTTATAGGGTTAACTTACTATACAGTATTTAGTAATTATTGTAACATCAAACGATATAATTGTAGGTTTTACCACGATTATGGCCATTTCTTAGTCATTCTAGTTCAAGTGTACGCAAAGCCACTTTACAAACATTACAAACATTAACCGGAAATGATGGTATACAAAACGAGAAGAAAAAAGAACAATGGGGCGAAGGAGGTGGAATCGTTTTACAAGACGCACTTCGTCATGTTTTTCAACGTGTACTGATTGAACATGTAACTGCCATACAGGACGTAGCCGAACGTGTTTGGGAAAATCTAGTCGTACAGAGCGATCTCGAATTGTTACTGCACGCAGCGTGTCCTCTTGTTAGCACATGGCTCTGCCTTGCTATGCAACCGGAACATGTGCCATTTAATCCAAACTTACTGATGACAATAAGTTCTCCGAATAAAGGGACTAAGAGTAATCAGTTCGTTGGTGTCTGCGATGGACAATCAGACGTTAATAATGTGGGGGGAAATAATACCACAACTGGAAATGTGAAATCAATATCTGAACTGAAAGTTTACATTGGTGGGATTGAGACTGTAGCTCAAAATATAAGGAAATTAAATGTAGTACAAGCTCGTTGTAGAGCTGCACGAATGTTAGGATGGCTATCGCATTATGTAGTACAACCAGCACCAGGTGTCACTTATACACCAGATATACCTAGTCCAGCACTTTGTTACGCTAAAGTATTACTGGCACACCTGAACTCACGTTCAGCGTTGCAACGCACTGTTGCAGGCTTGACAATGTCTCATTGGGCGACTGTAAACAATGAACCACCTGCCATACCAGACATACTCAGGTATTCCGATGAATATTTGTATCTATCTAACTTTTTTTAATGCGGTCTAATAATGATGTATTTGCTTAAAAGGGACAAACTCTTGACGTGTTTAAACGAATGTGTATACTATGATGAGATTGCCGCATCTTTCACTCGACTATTACATGACAGTCGTGATTATATTGCCACTCTGAAACATTATAAATTACCTGTTCCCATCGAGACAGATGCATCGGGTGTAATGACGCTCGATCAAATTGCGAATCTTGCTGCAAAACCAATTACAGATCTTTGCGCAATGGGCAATGTAGCAGGCAATGGAGGATCAGGTGGAAATATTGGCAGCAGCCCCAGCACGGTTAAACTAAAACCAAAAGTAATCGAAAGTTTAAAAGAAAGGCGAAAAGCTTTGGAAGTAGGCGCTAGTGATACAGCTGCCCAACAACTTTCGTACAATGTTATGTCAATGGCCGCACTAGCTGGTGCTGCCACAATGTTACACTGTCTCCCTCCATCTCCGCTACCCCTTAATCCATTAGTGAAACCACTGATGGAAGCTATTAAACGGGAGGAAAACGAAGAGCTACAGAAATTAGCTGCAAAACATTTGTCATACTTAGTTGACCTTTGTTTAGATAGGACACCTTCCCCTAATGCAAAGGTGTGCACTAAAACAAACATATATCAACAACGAAGAAACAAATATAATGACTTTTTTGAAATCCAATTAAAGTTACCTATTAATTAATAACTCTTATTATAAACAAGGCAACAGTTATACAATAAAAAGTACAAACTGTCAATTGTATTTTCTGCTACTTAAAGAAATTTCTTGCTACAAGATCACAATAAAAAAGATGTATTGAATATGACGCATTAAGCATTAGAAAGTCTGAAAACCTTATGTTTTTTTTTCCACAAAATCACTATATTTGTTGCTTTACATACATGTACTTCTGTTGAATACAATTAATTTTAAATGACTTCATTATAAATTTTTGTGTCGTAGATATCGACCAATTTATGTACATTCCTATGCTCGGATATTGAATTTACGCCTCGTGTAAATTTCGAGACGGATACGGATCTTTATGACGGAATTCTTACTTTAAGCAACAGACAGAAACATGCTGAAAGAGTAGCTTATAATCGAGGGGCGAACAGCGGAATTGGTAGCGGAAGAGGACCAGGTCGACCACCGACTACTGAAATCCCTTTGGAAGAACTACTTGCTTGCGAAGAACCTGAAGCCAAAGCAGCTAGAACACGCCGTCGTGGAGCAACTTTCGCACTTACTGCTATAGGTTAGATTTACACTGTATAATTATAATACAATACAAACCGGTTCAACAATCATAATAAAAACTTTTTATAAATAACATACTATATAAAATCATATTCTACTCAATTTTGACATTGATTTATTTTTACAGCCACTCACTTTGGTGATCAGTTACCAATTCGACTACCACATCTGTGGGAATTAATCCTACCAAATATCTTAAGGGAGGAGGAAAAAATCAGTGGTCGTGAAAATACTCAAGAAGAAGTAAATCAATTAATTTTTGGTTTACAGGTTTTAGAAGTTATGGCTCCAAGTCTCGATAAAGCTTTACTTCCCCCTGTCCTGAAATGCCTTTCATGTTTGTGTAAATTGTTGGCTCATCCATACAAAGCCGTTAGACATATGGCATCGCGTTGTATTTCTGTGTTAGCTAGATTAGATACCGAAAAGGTAAATTTCCAGTGTAGTATGTCAATATCAAAATTCCGGTTTTATTAACTCCATTATAACTTTATTTGTAAATTGATCGTAACTTTTTGTAGGTAATAATACACATCACACGCAGCGTAATACCGCTTTTAGAAGTTACCGGTGGGGAGAAATTATATTCGACGACCGTAACAGCCCCGAGCGAAATAGATTCAGTGAGGCAAGGTGCAGCTGAAGCATTGGTTTGCCTTGTTGAAAATTTAGGTGTGAATATTGTTCCATATGCTGTACTTTTCATGGTTCCTTTACTGGGCCGTATGAGTGATCAAAATCAAGCTGTGAGACTAGCCTGCAGTGCAACATTTGCCACGCTTGTACAGCTTCTACCTCTTGACCCTGGTGCAATAGCTGATCCACCAGATTTAGTGTGAGTTAGAACATTTTAATGTAAATGTTGGGCTATAATTATTTCGAGTGTAAACATTATACATATAATTTTAAGTATATTTCAGAGAGAAGAAAGCTCAAGAGCGACGGTTCCTAGAACAACTTTTAAATCCACGCAGTATTCCAGATACCGAATTACCAATACCTGTAGCTGCAGAATTGCGTTCTTATCAACGTCAAGGTCTGAATTGGCTGAACTTCCTAAATCGTTACCGACTTCATGGTGTCCTATGTGATGACATGGGTTTAGGAAAAACGTTACAGACTCTTTGTATATTAGCATTAGATCATCATCGTAATCCTCATGCTCCACCAAGTCTAGTAGTTTGTCCACCGACTTTAACCGGTCACTGGGTGTACGAAGCAGAAAAATTCTTCGAATCTAAAGATCTTTCAGTCCTGCAATATGCCGGCACTCCGCCTGAACGCGAGAAATTACGTCCAAAAGTTACTTACCACAGACTGGTTGTTGCAAGTTACGATATAGTACGTAAAGACATTGATTACTTCGAAACGTGGCAATGGAATTACTGTGTGCTCGACGAAGGTCATGTTATAAAAAATGGAAAGACAAAAAGTGCAAAAGCAACGAAACGACTACACGCCAATCACAGACTTATATTGTCAGGCACCCCGGTTCAAAATGACGTGCTTGAACTGTGGTCTTTATTTGATTTTTTAATGCCAGGTTTTCTAGGCACTGAGAAACAATTTGCGGCAAGGTACTCACGTCCTATTCTAGCTTGTAGAGAACCGAAAGCTGGACCAAAAGAACAAGAAGCGGGTGCTTTGGCTATGGAAGCGTTACACAGACAGGTAGTTCTTTTATTATTTTTATTCCTATGAGCGATTAACGTGTTGGGGGACCGCAGTATATATTGAGGTGAAGTGCCATCTGATTGAAAAACATTGAGGCTATCATAAGAACTCTCAGCTCTAAATTTTGAACTGCGAATAAATGCTGACATAAAAACACCTGTTAAAGTATACCGTTTTTTGTTAATCGAAAATTTCACACTTTTCTCTTACATACATAATTAGAGGCAGTTTAACATAGCAGTTTATTTATAAAATAACTAACCTACATTAAATCGTAGATATGTGAATATGACAATAGCGTTTTTCGCGACAGTTTTGTGTCGTCGATGGACTCCAGGTCAAAATTGTCACGATTGTTCAATGCTGTTAGCCGACTGCAAAGTGTTAAATATATTTATATAATATAAACATGCATATAACAAACACTCTATGTTTTATAGGTTTTGCCATTTTTATTGAGGCGAAATAAAGAAGACGTTCTCCAAGACTTACCACCTAAAATTACTCAAGATTATTACTGTGACTTGTCACCATTGCAACGCACATTGTACGAAGACTTCCGTAGTAGACATTCTGCCACTCTATTATCTGCCACATCGTGTACTTCATCTGCAAGCGATCCTCAAGGAGGTCATGTGTTCGAAGCACTGCGATATCTACGTAACGTTTGTAATCATCCTAAATTAGTACTGAATCCACGACACCCACTATATCAAACGGTTTGTACCACTGTGGCTTGAGTTGACAAATGTTTTACCCGCGATATTAGCTATTAATATGCATATTTTTAGGTATGCAACACGTTAAAACAACAAAAAGGTACCTTAGCTGATATAGAACATGGAGCAAAGTTACCAGCGTTAAAGCAACTACTACTGGATTGTGGAATTGGACAACCACAACAACAACAAAACTTGGCATCTACTGGTGGTACACCAGATAATCAACCACCTCAACAGCAGCAATTAGTCAGTCAACATCGAGCTTTAATCTTTTGTCAGTTGAAAGCAATGCTGGATATTGTAGAGAAAGATCTCCTTCGCACGCATCTACCAACAGTCACGTATCTTCGTCTTGACGGAAGTATACCAGCGACCCAAAGGCATTCCGTAGTGGCGCGTTTTAATGCTGATCCGTCGATTGATGTACTTTTGCTAACGACTCAAGTCGGAGGGCTAGGATTAAATCTAACCGGTGCAGATACTGTTATATTCGTGGAACACGACTGGAATCCTATGAAGGATCTTCAAGCGATGGATCGAGCACATCGGATTGGACAAAAGAAAGTGGTTAATGTTTACAGGCTTATCACGAGGTCCACAGTAGAGGAGAAAATTATGGGACTTCAAAAATTCAAGCTTCTCACAGCAAATACTGTGATTTCAACAGAAAACACCTCTCTAGAAACAATGGCTACCGATCAGGTAAGATGTAGAGATTACACTGAATACATACAGTGGGGGACAAAAGTATTCGTACACTCTTTAAAACGGAACTTTTTTCAAATTGGTCAAAATGACTCGAGTTCTTTTCTGAGGTTAGGGACATTAGTTTACTAAATGATGTGTAAAATAAAATTTGAAAAAGTTGTAATTGGTCGGGATCGCGAATAAAATAGTAAACGTCGCTTTTTACAACTTTTTAATCTGAGGCTAGAATAAAAATGTGATAGATACATATCGAAGATTTATGTTAGTTATATACATGTTGAAGATTTCATAAAAATCGATTGTCGTTGCTGAGATACAAAGGATTAAAAATGTCGATAATCATTGTTTTTCGCGACTGTTGACCTACAACTGTATTTAATAAACCTAACAATTTTTACATCTTTTGACGCCTGTCGCTCGTTTCTGTATCAACCGATTTCAATGAAAGTTTCAGTATGTATTGCAACTTTTTCAAATTTATTTTTACACATCATTTAGTAAACTAATGTTCCGTTTTAAAGAGTGTACGAATACTTTCGTCCCCCACTGTATAAATATACACGGTGGTTCATATGCATAACGTCGCAAAGTAATCTTTTCGAGACTATTAACAATAGTTTGCATAAATAGAGGTTAGTGATTTGCACTTTTGCAGATGTCAGTTTCATTACAATTTTATTTCGCACAAGAAAAGGTATTAAAATACTTCCATTGACTGTACCATGTCTTACATTATGCGGTAAACGAAAAGATATTTCGAATAAGCGTTATTCGTTGCTTGATGAATTCTAAGATTGCAAAGATTTGCGTGATATATTTAAATATCGTGCAAAAGGCGCCAGGCAATCTTGAAAACTCAAAAAAGGAATCCTATTACTATCCGTAATAGTTTAAAAAATCACTTTGTAATAATTTATCTGAACCAACCACCGTTTAGCATATTTGTCACAGTTTCTTAAGATTATTATAAAAGATTTATTTTGTAATAACACTTTGTTCGTAACATTCTTTACAGTTATTGGATTTGTTCTCATTAGACAATAATAAGGGAAAAAGGTCGGACACACAAGGAGAGACTGTGTCTAAAATTACTGGCGTCCCAGGCGTTAGTCGTTCTGTCCTAGAAATTCTTCCTGAGTTATGGGAACAACAACAGTATGATGACGAATACGATTTTGATTCATTTCTATCGACATTAAAGGCTGATAACCAGTGAGCTTCAATTTTAAGAATTATTACCACTGATCGCATAATCTAGGAAAGTTGCTGAGTATATTGTCAAGCGAGCGTACACAAATCAGATCAAGTAACACAGAAAACGACCTCCCCGATCTTATGGACTGAATATAATAAATATTCTTTTATTAGGAGAAACGAAAACAACATAATAACTACGTAAGAGAAATGAAACTCGGATACATAAGTTGCTAATTGATTAAGTACTATAAGTAAGCGAGTCTTGTTTATTTATAATAACTTATAAAAATGTCGATACAATTACAATCCCGTGTTTGTACCAAATGACACCAGGGTGCAGATTTATTTATATATTATAATACTAGTCTCTTTCTTTACCACCATTTATATACCATCGTGATGTGTCGGTAAACCGTAATACCGATTGTCTTCACTAATTACCGAATTCCTCTTAAGAAGAATCATGATCATCCCGAGTTAAAAATGATTTGCAGAGCGTAGTAAGTTCCAAATTATCACAATGCATTTCGTTCGTTTACAATTCACAGTTTCGATATACTTTTCGGATCCAAGTTACCAGCTGCGAATATGTTATGGGGATCCAGGTGCGCTTTGGCTGCCCGATACAGAGATACTCCCACTTCGCCTACAGCGTCCGAGTAAAAGCAGGAACGTAATTTACCCACACCGTGATGATGGGACAGAGAACCACCACTGGCAAGAATTTCCTGGCGCGCGGCATGTTCGATGGTTTCGTACGTTTCAACGGGGTCCGAGAGATTGATGTAATTAAGTGCCATATAAAAGTATATACAACAACCGGCATCGTAAATTTGTGTGACACGACAAGAGATGAAATAATGGTCGATTTTATGCTTATAACACTCTCTGGCCACGCGGGATTTTACATTTCTACACAGCGATAGAGCACGGTTCCAGGAGACTGAGGTTTCAAATGATTCAGCCAAAATATTATAATCCAAACCAAGGTCCCGAATATACGCTATAACAAAGGTTAGGACGTAACCACGTTCACCGTTCGTCTCCCCTGCCGGTACACCGTTATGTTGTTTTGCGATATTATAAATTTTTTGTTCTTGCATCGCCACATCAGCGGCCGTGCTGCCTTCGAACAATAGAGTAGCGACGCATAACTGGTCCCATTTGAATCCCTTTATCCTTGTAATATATGCATGCTTCAATCCTTGTAAAATCGAACTACCCCAACTGCTCTCTGGTCGTAAGACTTGTCCAAATTGAAATTGTTCATTGTCCATTAAGCGTATACTAGCAGGTTGACATCGTTCTTTGGCTACCTGTTCATGTACATGTATAAACGATGATTAATTTCTTAACATTAAATTACAATAAAGAGCAACATTACAGACATCTCTTATTTTAAAGGTCCTAGCTTCATATGCCAGCAACTGTAGTTCGATTTCCGTGCAGGGGAAAATTCTTTTTCGAGAAACTTAATTTTTTAAATACAGAACAGAACAAATATCGAATGAAAAAAATGTGTATAATCCTGCTTCTCATTGCAATAAATATCTCGATAGAAATAACGATAGCTTATATTTACCTGACGCATCGCTGCTACACCGTTTTCAAAACTTGGGAAAACTACACTACCATATTTAACTACTTTTGGTAATGGCCTAATTTTCAATATTACTTCAGTGACGACACCCAAAGTCCCTTCACTGCCAAGGATCATGTGGTCAAAGTCAGGTCCACATGAAGCTCGGGGTACCAATATACCCCTTTCCAACGTTATTTCAGGATCTTCTGTTCTACCAGTAACCATTCTTACTCGTACAACTAAGTCCTCGATGTTTCCATAGCGGTTCTTCTTCATACCGCTCGCCCTCGTCGCAACCCACCCACCTAAACTGTTCTTTCAAGAAACAAACGCTATTATAGCAACGGCAGTCAGCAAATTATTTTTATGAAATTGTCTAATTTTGAAGATGGTATGAACTTTTTTTACTGTCAAAACACTATGTTTCTTTACGTTATGAAGAATGATAATTGTTTTTGTAATACCTATGTTTAATGTAGTAATATATGTAAGTATAAGATCTCATATCGCCTTTTGTCATAATTACATACTTACAATTGTGAAACCATTAGCTTCTCTCATTAAAGTTGTAGTTTTAATGTTACGATCATATACAGGGTGAGTTACCTAACGTTTGCATCTCAAATATCTTTGTTGTTTTTAAAAATTTGTCAAATGTCTTAAGGACAAAGTTTAATGGTTCAATGGGGCTCATACGATGCGAAACAATTACTGTTTTTACGAGATTTTTTTTTTTTAGAGATATCAAGGTCACCTTCAATTTTTTAAATGGAACCATCCTTTTTTCCGTAACCTTGAATGACCTTGAATAATTACAGTCACTGAATTGCTAATGAAAGAGACTTCATTGTAAGTGTTTAAAAAAGGGTGATTCCATTTTAAAAAATTAAGGTGACCTTGATATCTCTAAAAAAAAATAACATAAAAAAACAAAAAAAATTGACATTGTGTGAGCCCCATTGAACCATTCAACTTTGTCCTTAAGACATTTGACGTATCTTTAAAAACAACAAAGATATTTGAGGTGCAAACGTTAAGTGACTCACCCTGTATAGTATGCTTGTAATTTTAAATACCTCACATAATAGGTTACTAAATTTTTCTGAGAAACTCCATGGCTATGTAATGATAGATTATAACATTGAATTTAAGGAAGCTAAAGTTAACCATGAAAGTTCATGATATCTACAAAGATCGACAATTTCTGTACATGTCTTCAACCAATAAAAATAACCATATTTCTTTATACAAATTATCTTGTATGCGATATTCTACATTAATATTATTGGAAGTTTCAAATTTCCGAAACATATTGTTTATAAACTTTATTCTATTGAAATATTGATATGACGGATTATTGGCTGATTTGCGTATACATTTTGAGGAAATAAATTTTGTTGAATTTAATATTATGTACCTAGAAAATTCATAAGAATCTGGTTCATGACCGGAAGTCAGACCTTGAAGCCGTAGTTGTTTTTCAAGGTCCTGACCAATGATACCAGACTCGCAGCAGGCGATTAAACTTTCCCTATCTATCCACAATATTCGATTCATTTGCGACGTGTCCAGCAATATTATTGTTCGTCGTTCATTCGTTGGACAGGACGATGCACCGCTAACACTTGTTCCGCCGCCGAACGGTAGACAAACTGATCCATACCGAGCACATAGTTTGATTATTTTAACGACATCCTCGTGGCACTCTGTAAACATAATATATAAATATCAATGGAAAATCGACACAATTTCATTACAAATTCGTAAAATTTATTAAAGATTTAATATTCAAATTTAATAGAATCTCTTGTGATAATGCCCAAATAGCACATGACGCCATAAAGACGCCTATTTTACGGCTATTTTAGGACTAAGACGTCTTTAAGCCATATTCAAGGCGTTATTAGACGTTGTGTGCTATCTGGGTACTAGTATTTATGAATCAGTGAACTCCAAGTAGACAAACAATAAGAAACTTTTGTTCTTTTTATCATTCAATCAGTTGCACATTCAACAAAATTATGATACACTTTATACTACTAATTTGAATTATTAGAACAGTTATTGCATATTTAAAATTATGCAATTCTGATAAAAATCCTCCGTCTTACCCGGGATAGTGTACTGTATTTTAATTTACATCTTTATAGATAAATCTTTTTTGTAAAGAAGATATATTATCAGATAGAATGTAAAGTATATTACTTAGTTTAATATTTTAAAAACTTCAACATACTATAGCAATAATCAAAGTAAAATTTAACAAAACGTATCAACAGCAATTTCACAACTAAGGAAAATAACTGGAAATTGTCAGCGCTAATAACTTTTTGTAAATGAGGCGACGTAAAAACAATGAAAGAAAGAAAAATATTAAAGAAACACCCAAACAATAAACTTTTTATACTCTGAATTATATAACATGGTAATGATGGCTTGCGATTTTTACCAAATTTTTGTAAATAGTATAAACACAAACAGTATACTTTTATGTAAATTGAAAAACTTGCTTCACTTCAAAATAGGTACATTATATGTATATGTTTGTATTGAATACAAACTTGATTAAAGCTGTCGTATAATTAATCGTGATGTAGTGTGCATAATTTTTATATAATTATATTTGTAATTGACTATTTATTCAATGAAAATAGTCGTAGTTCAACACCTTTTGACTGTGAATGGCTGTATTTAAAAAGTACGTAAAATAGAGGATTAAAATAATTCCCATTGATTATGAACACATTAGTACTTCCGTCTGTTTTTTGAACTAATTTGTAATTTATTCGTGTCCGACGTTTTACCGTGGAAAAGCACTTCAGAAATTATAGTGTACATCTAATTGTGAGTCAAGGCTTGAGAACTCGTTCGCTCCCACAGCTATCCTGGTCGATACCGACGTAAGGCTAGTAGAAGCATTCAAACAAAACAATGCGACAGGAAAGAATTATTTAAAAAAAGACACACAACATTGACGAGAAACAAACTAAGTATACATTAGGTTGAATCATAAATAACTTCCGGTTTTTGATTTTAAGTTTATTATACAGTCTGTCTCAAAACCCAGATAGCATACGACGCCTCGAAGACGCCCATTTTACGGCTATTTTAGGTCTGAGGCGCCTTTAAGTCGTCTTTAAGGCGTGATGTGCTATCTGGGAAGTTTCCAAACTGAAATTAAAACAGCAGTTTTCCGTAAAATGACGATGTTCTTTATCATCAAGTATTGAACAATAGTTTTCTTTTATAGATATATACTGTTCACAATAATTATAGAAGCTCTGAGAATGGTATTGATAATTTTTCTTCAAGATGGAAACGGCGACGGTCGAATGATTTAGCTTCACGAGTCATCATGAGTTTACACAACATTCTCGTCTTGAAAGGTATTTTACAGTTTGATTATCCTCCGTATTCGTCTAATTCTGCATCATCAAACTAATTGGTACCTGGTACACAAATTGGAAGCGAAGAGAAAGAAACGACAATCTAAAATCAGTTTGACATTCACAGTACATCAACGACTACATTCTCCGACATCTTGAAGAAAAAATGCCAAAAAGTAATAGAGCTATTTCCAGTGTTTGTATAAATTATTATGAACAGTAGATCACTTCAGAAGGAAACTATTTCCAATAATTGCTGATGAACATTGTGAATATCATATAAAAAATTGTTGTTTTAACTTTTGGGACAAGCCGTGTATTCCCAATACATCCCAGATAGCACATGACGCCTTGAAGACGGCTTAAAGACGCCTTAGACCTAAAATAGGGTCTTTAAAGAGTTATGTGCTATCTGAGATTTTGCAATTAATATAATATTTTACACCTTTTCAATTATTAAATTCAATACTTGTTCTTCAATGTAAGTATTTTACACCCTTTCAATTATTAAACTGAAAACTTGTTCTTCAATGCAAGTATTAATATTATCGACGCTGTTTAATTACTATTTAGTAATAATAATATTTTACTGTCTACGGCAGATACTATTTACGACACAACAATAAAAAATATATTTCTCATTCCAAAAAAGGATTAAGTACTATTTTGGTTGCTCCTTGTAACATTGAAACAATGCATTGCACGAAAAATATTATACAATATTTTTGTTTCTGACAAAACAAAATAGACTGATACGTGATACTTATGAATCACCTTAGTATCTATAATGTATATCGATTCATTTCAATCGGTTCACTTTCTCGTTTTCCATCGCGTGCAGCAATACTTGTCCCACGTGTACAGCCAATAACGAAGTAACCAGCTATTTATAAATCTGATTATCGTGGCAAAAATTGTCATTGGCGATGGGAGGATCGATCGAATTGTAGTAAATGCATAAATGACATCAGTTTTTACGATTACGAGACTTGTCGACGTCATTTTTCGATTTTACATAAATAATATACCTGTGCGTGGGTCGGATAAGAGAAAGGTATTTTGTAGAAGAGACTACAAGATATACGAGAAATATTTCTTCAGAATTTTTTACTGATGACCTCGACGTGGAAATTCCAAACTAAATATTTACTTGTAATTTGAATATTGCAAAAATAACTTTTAGATCTAATCGAAAATATTATAGTACAGACAGGCCAACCATTTGCAATTAAAATAAAAGAAGTGACTATTCGACAACTAATAGTTTCGGAGATAAAACTTACGTTGTACATCCTGGTTTAATGAAAACGAGCGGAAATAATCGGAATTTTTTATATCTCGTATGCTTTAACAGTAGAACTGCCAACGTTGAATGTATACAGGGTGTCCCACTTAACTCTGTCACCCTTAATTGTTCTCTTATTTGTCACGGTATAAAAAAATAGTTAGAGAGAAAGTTAGTGTATTTTAAGGGGCAAATTAGGCTATGAGATTGAAGGTCATATCTTTGGGATTTCTATTTTTCGAATTCCTGTTTTTGCATACTTTTCAGTTTTATTTTATTATGATGGAACTCTATCTGTTTTGTTACCCAGATAGCACATGACGCCTTGATGACGGCTGAAAGGCGCCTTAGACCTATAATTGCCGTAAAATAGGCGTCTTTAAGGCGTCATGTGCTATCTGGGTATAATTTCTAATATGTTGTAAAAGTGTGCACATCTTACATTTAAAACGTGTATCGTATTACAATAAAACTATTTTTAATCGAGAATTATGCGTGCTTAAAACTACAACTACCAACGATAAACGCATATCTTTTTCGATCGATCGATAAATATGGCAAACTTTTGAAAATTTACAAATTTATAAATTAACCAATTTCTTTATTGTCGTATCGTAATAAAAGTTACGAAAGATCTGAGAAAATATATTGTTATAACATTTGAATCATCGTTGTAAGAGTGTATTGACAAGACATTTTGACTTGTTTGGTAGTTCTAGTGTTAAAAAAATGGTTCTCATATTCGCCTACTTTGCTCTACCAAAGTGAGTAAGTAAGATAGCCTATAGTCCTTTGACAAATATTCATTTGTTAGAATTTAAAAAATGGCATTATTCCACATTAGGTATATTCATATTTGGCCACTTTCCTCTACTAGAGTATCTCTTACGCCGTGTGTTTTATGAAAACCAGTTGAAATAAACCTTAGTTGTCCGAAAATAGACAATCAGAAATCGTAAAAATTTGCATTCGAGAAAACAAGCCTGAAATTAGAGAAAATGTGACCTTCGCTTATGTTCATTGCTAAAATATATTTTTCTCCAACCAACTATTCCACTTTTTCTAGAATACTTTCCTGTATCGCTGAGAATAACAACAGATTCCTGTCCATAAATCACCTAACAGTTATGCTATTAATTTTACACACTGCAGAGAATATGTAAATTACATTCGGCGTTGTGAACAATCAAGAATATCCATTCGAATGAATCGTAGCAGTTTCAACGGTCGATTTTGTTTTCCAAATTTGTTCCTGAAATCATGACCACGAGTTTTTCGTTCATTTTTTACACGTCTTCTTGATTTTTTTTAGAATTAATGCTAGAATTATTCAATTATGTTAAATTGATTCGACTACAGATAGCGTTGCACAATTTACAGTTCATTATTATTTAACAATTTTTTAATGTTATTCTGGAAGATATTTGAGATATGTAGTGATTAATAATTTATTTTGTTATTAGCAATTTTTGTTTTGTCCTTTCTAGGAGAGTAAAAAGATAGTCTGGCATCTTTAGGAATCTTAAGAATCGATCACTTTTCTTTTCAGAATAAATCAGGATACAGGTTATTTTTAATAGTATAGCTTCCACCATGTGTTAAATCTCGCCTTTGACTACTAGTATCTCTTGTTATCACAAAAACCGAAACACTTGAGAAGGGTGGTTCGTTTTTGTTATGAGCCAACTGAACTACTTTGGGAAGTTGCATTTGTTTCAATTTCCATTCTTCTGAAAATAACCAAGCGCCCTGTGGCTTATGAACGGGAGTGTGTAGAAGTGTTTCCAAAGATATGGTGAATCAACCAGTGAATGACCGAATTGTTGAATTTCTGAACGTTTGTGATTACTATTCGAATGTATATATTTATTCATAACAACGAAACAGCTGTTGAACTTGCAATTACATATACTTTTCTTGAAACTTTTATAAAAATAATTACTTATTCTTACCATAATTTTGAAAAAGTTATTTATAAAGTGCACAATGTGTAAAATCCCAGTAAATGACTGCTTCATTTCTAAAATATTTTTAATAAGAATTGTACTAATTAATGTTTCCTTAATACGCTAGACTAAAAATATGGGATATTAAAAGTGCAACAACACTCCATTTATAAACATTTAATAATTTCAAAATTTATAATTTACATTTCTTGACTAATGGTCATTCACTGGTCTGCAGTCAATTACTGGTTGGTTTACCCTACGAATTTTTTATTTGATCACTAGAATGCGGATCTTTATGCAAATATAGATTTTTATTGTTCATTTTACAAAAACTGGTATCAAACAGAAAAACCTTATTAAGGATACTATTAGGTGTCAAATAAAACAAATACTTCATCAAAATTCATAAAATATTTTTGCATACTAAGATTTAAATAATCATATTCGCTATAAATGCATAAATTCCGCAGTCTATTGATTACTTTTCGTGTATATCACATTGTAATTTTTCAATATAATTTCCGTTTAACTTTATGCACTTGTCCCAGCGCGAAACTAGTTTTTTCTGCCGTCCAAACAAAACTTTTTGGGAGTCTCTTTTATCCACTGATTTACGGTTTGTTTACGTCATTTAACTCGTGAAATCGCACAACACATAGAGGTTTTTTTCAAATTTCGAAACAGATGACAGCCACTGGGTGTCACATCAAGCGAATAACTAGTTTTCGAGAAAATAATGGCATTTTAAGAATTTAAAGCGCTTTCCTTAAATGCAAAATTACCATTTAACAAACACGTCTATATTCGCCAAGCGGCGAAATTATTCTAAACGGCACTCACTAGCATACATGCCTAAAACTTTCAAAACAAAGTTGGCACTAGCGAAGTTTGGTACCAGCCTTGTCTATAAATAGAATTAAAGTGGAACCGGTTCTTGCAAATATTCAAGTGGTTCGTGCCAAATTCGAAAAACGAGATAATTAAATAAAATTCATACAGATTGTTTATTAGAACGAAATATACACACAAAAAAAATTTGAGACTCGGTCGCCGATCAAATAAATAAGAAAGAGCTTGTCAAAAATTGAGTTTTCAACACAACTCTTATGGCAGTCTTACGATTTCTTACTGGAAGTATAATCTTTTCTATTTACAGAAATTAGAACTGTTAACTACAAACTAGGTACTGAACGTATAAATCCTGAACTTTCTGATAATAAACTAAATCTTGTACCATGCCAAACATTCCAGGAAGATGTTTGACAAGAAAGTCCAGGATATGTAAGTTACTGGATGGTTATTGCTACTATGTAGGGCAATGTTGCTGAACTAGGGTTATACCCGCGAAATACAAATACATTTAAAAAATATTTTACTTATTTTGTGTTTTAGTGAATTCTCATTTTCTAAATTATAATGCACGTGAATATAATTAACTTTACATATAAGAATATTGAATATTGATATTAAGTTCCGGTGCTCTACTACAGAACCATTAGTTACAAAAGTGGAAGTGGTCCTCGTACCGGAACTGAACCAGTTCCATACAAACGGTTCTTTTTCCATCCCTGTGAGAACCGTCTGTCACAAAAAATTAAATTAAAAATTTTAAAAACCCCCGACACAAAAAGAACGGTGTATTAACTGAAAAAGGAAGTTACGAAAAGTTTAAAAGGTATGAAATAACTTACTATACAATATTATTTATTTTTGTTATAGGTAATATTCCCAACATACTATTATATTCAATTTTATGATCTCATATATTAATGAATTTCTACGATTGAAACTCAGCTATTTTACAATCTTTATTTTGAATTCTTATAATATTCAACAATACGTCGGGGACTGCTATAAAATGTTAACCAAAAAAAATTGAAAAGATTCATATGAGTACAGTAAAAATATACTGTATAGTTGTACATATGCCTACAGTAAACTTAAACCAAGCCTATATACGCTCATACGATTACTCGTATGTATGCAAACTTATAACAGCCCTCCTTTTGCGTCGAGGGTTAAAAATGGAATTCTAGTACTGAAACTGAATCGTCAGTCGTAAAGTGGAAGCGGTTATCGTTCAGAACCGTTTTCACACAAACGGTTTTTTTTTCCATCCCTGCCTGGAAGCCTTAGTTATTATCCCTGCAATTCTCAGAACTTTGGAAACACCTCTCCTACTTACATACCTGCTCGTATTGGATAAAGGGTTTAAACAGAATTTTATCAGTATATTTGTCAGACTTACTCGGCCAGAGAACTATGTCCGGTATCCGCACGAACGATCCGTATTTCAAACAATAAATTTCTCGTAACGTGTGCCCGTGTGCTCTGACCAGCCGATCGATATCTTTTGTTGAATATTCGACTTGTGATTCCTCAATCGCTTCTAAGAGCTCAGACGATATAACTGGTTCTGGTAGATTTGTCGGTATCGGTTGAGGAGTATTTCTCTTAGTCACATCCACGTTCAGAACATCCTTAACCCATTGCGTGAAGTATGGAAGTTCTTTACTGCCGATTGGATACCTGTAAACATTTCATTCATTAATGAAAATCGACATAAGGTAAATGTCACAGTGGTTGGATACGCCCTGGTGATTAGACAGTATCGTGAATTTTTAATATTGAATTTTTTAAAAATAATAACGAACTTCAGGATAGAAAATAATTATCATTAGTTATTTTTTATCAGAAATCATATAAAAATGTTCGCAAAAGCGTATGTATTATAGCGATGTATTATTTTTAAAAAAATGTTATCATTTAGCAATCATGAACTTGAGGCGACATGAATGCCTTCGTAAATGTTTCGCTAACATTGAGAGCGCTTTTTTGAAGCTCGTAAATAATAAATAATTCGTGTGTTTCTATTAAGTGAAGGTTTCTTGATCTGGGTGTAGTATAAATAAATTTGTTAATAGCAGTATGCACTTGTTGCCATTTTGAAAACGCTTGTTTATCACAGAGTTTTATGTAAGTATAAGTAAATGGTAATTGTATGAGGAAAAGTCTAAATTTGGAACAACTTCCGACATCATTAATTTATAAAATGAAAAGGCACAAATTTTTATGTCTACGGTAACAATGATTAATTATGCACTGACAATGTAGCATCAAAACAAATGGGAAATTAGCTGATTGTATGGAAACCACTAGAATAAATTTTATATCAATGTCGATATTGTTCATCAAAAACGTACGAAAAACTTGTTCTGAATTTACCGTTGATAAAACAAAAACCACACAAATTCTTTCCAGTACCTAACACAGTAATGTCCAGGCTATATCATCACTACTAAATAATAAAAATGAATAATAAAAATTGCAATTTATCCTTTGATATGTAAATCAGAAGACATACTAATACTTTATTATATTGCATATAACCCTTACTAATTAAGATCATAGATAACAGAAGTAATTTCTTTAATTATTCTTAGTTCCACCTAGTTTGTTTAAACAATCAAATTGTTGTTATCAAAATGCAGAAACATATAAAAAGAATTTCGCTTTAATCCAAAGTTAGCAACTGCTATAATAATATTGAAACGATTACAGTTTTTTAGTGTTATGTGTGCTACGTTCGAATATATTTAATCAGTTTATCTTATCATAGTGATTATTCACAAATTACGAACTATGTACGTACATGTTCCCTAAAGTTCTAAGAACGTTACGACTATGTTAACATCATAATAATCACTGCTTTGCTTAATAATAAAAAATCATCACAGAAACATGAAAACTTGAATTTAAATAACTAGAAATCAAAAATGCAAATAATAACAATTAGATAGTATTTTCATAAATATTATTTCAATGTAATATGATTAATATGGTTTTACAATTGTCCTATAATTTACTGCAATAATCACATATCGTTTATTTTACAAGTAGTCTACACAGTCAGCATAATCCAACTTTTCTAATTTATTTATTTACAATTTATTTGTATTTATTTGTAATCATAAAAATCATATTGCTGATTTTCTCGAAATTGGATTTACACCATTTTCAAGATAATCGCATTTATTAATTTTATAATTGTTTTCGTTGAAGACGTTGCTATTCTTGTTGTAAGTGTGCTATATAAAACTGTAGTATGACTCTTTATTCAATTAGAAACTTTAGTATAAACAATAACTTCATTTAACATAAGTCCAGTTTCCAAGAACAATATTCTGGTAAAATTTAAAAACCGAAAATTTTATTATTATTGTTATTTTTATATCTGAATTTTACTATCTTCTTAAATGCACACTTTGACCTCTAAATTATTTAATTAATCAAGTTTCGGAACATCCAATCGTAACTAAAGATTTTTTAATGCTAGCCTTTCCCATGAAAAACTTTCACGATAGCACAAAAAATCTGGATTATAAATTCAATTGAACCATAATTGACAGCCTTCCTATTTAGAAAATATTGTGAAACATTTATAATCTGTCTTAAAACTATTGGTCATCTTAAAAAGTAAGTCCGTACCTGTCGTATATGTTAATTAAATATGCGGCAACATGACAAAACTCATTTTAAACAAATGTCCACTACTTTACTACGTCGTAAATAGCGTTTTATTATCCAATACAGAATAGTGTACAATATCGAGTATAATTATTTACGTATTCTTTAATAATATTTCTACAAGTTTTCGCGTTAAAAAAAGATATATAGTTGAAAGTAAAAATATATTCATTTGATGTACACATTTTTGGGAATTTCATTACAATAAGTTTAATAAAAGAACAATTTGAAAAAATGAAAGTACAGTCGTAAAGATACATAATATTAGCATCTTTCACTCATATTTTATTCATTTTGCTTCGTAGAAAGTTCCTTGAAATATTCATGATAAACAGGGGATGTATAAGGCAATAAACTCATCATCGTATCGTTATATGATGTAATAGGTCTTGAACCTATTTATAACGGCAATAATATTATTTTACTGAAATTTTCCGGTCTGCCTCGTTTTCGGGATAAATCCAGGATCTCAAATTTCGTATTCGCTGATGCACCGATGTTTGAATTCTGAGGTGGAATGTGTCGAAAGTTTCTCAAAGTAGAAAACATTCCGAGACTTATGGAAGGACCTAATAGAGGAACGAATCCCATTATCGTATACTTTTACATGACACCTTGTAGTTTAGTGAAAAATTGGGTTAAATATTTTTCTATTATATGAAGTTACTGGGAAACATGTTTATTGATGACGTGCTTATACAAAAATAAACAGTTTTAGATAAAAGTAGACAAATTCTTATATTAGTATTTCTTGTCATTTTTGGTAAGTACTAAAACTGATGCCCAATATTGCTCCTATACGGTGTATTAGGAAATACATACGGTAATCATTATTAGGTCAGTTAACATTATTCTACTAAATTATCCTACCAAAAAAAAATCACAAATATGAACCTTATTGTTTGATTCTTTATTCTATGTTTGTACGGTTTGCCACAGTACTGATATCTACTGCTATTAGAAGAAATAGTTAACCGAATTAAATTATATAAGGAAACACGGCATATCAAATTCTTAATGGCATAATATTAAAGTAATAAGGGCGGCGATACTGTTTTTGTACCCGGACGGTCAACAACCCAGGAACGGCCCTGCGTGTGTGTTTCCTTTATGAGTTCAAACTTGGAGAAAAAGCCACTCGAAGCATCCCGGAAGATGTGTACGACATTCCAAAACTATTGTGTAAGTGAAAGTGCAGGTACCGCACAAAAGTAATTCGAAAAATTCAAAATAGGGGAAGAGATAGTTTAATTTATATGTTTATAATATTTTTTATTACATTTTTTGTTGTTAAATGAGCGGTTAAGTGGAGAAGGACGCGCAGTATCATTAATAATGATGATTTGCGGGTTGTTGATGCTAAAAATCCAAAAACAACGTGTAAAAAGCTCGCTACGCAGTTGTTCGTCGCAACTTCAGCGGGTGCAGGAAGAATTTCGGGAAAAAATATATAGCTGACATTGCTAAACCGTAATGGCTTCTTTCTGCAAAACAAGATGTGACCGTATGCAAGAAAACATTTCAGAACTTGGCTGACAAACATTAATTGGATTGTTCTTTTTAAAGTAGTATAAGTCCAATTTTTTATTAGAAAAATAAGTTAAGCTAGTTTCAGCTACAAATCGATGGCTCCTTTTTATATTTATAATAACAAAGTCAATACACTACTCTATTCTCACGAATTAGTCAAAAAGGTTTGGCTGTTAAATGGAATTATGTAAATGTCTTTTTTTAAACTGATAAAAGTCCATTTTTAGCAATGACTCGATTTATTTGAAACTTTCTACGAAGCAAAATGAATAAAATATGAGTAAAAGATGTCAATATTATCTATCTTTACGACTGTACTTTCAGTTTCTCAGATTGTTCTTTTATTAAACTTATAATGAAATTCTCAAAAATGTATATCAGATGATTTCGAAAAAGTCTACTTCACATATATATCAGGTTTTATAAATCACTAAAGACTGCAACATATCCAAGTGTCAACAAAATCCGAAATGTTAGTCCAAAAAGTGTCCGATTTCGCATGGAATACCCCATAAATTACAGTAGTCATTACTAAACTGCGGATGTTTATGCATTTATAGCAATTTTTAACATGTAAAATGCATGAAGATAAAGATTTCAATCAAATTTAGTGATATTTATATATTACTATTAACATAACAAGACATTTATTACAGGATCTAGATTTCTATCCGATTTTAATGTTTATAAATTAATGCCTAACATTCTGAATTTGCGTAAACATCCGCAGTCTACTCATTACAATATTTATAGAAGATCGAATATCCGATCGTCTGAAATTCAGTGTAGTAGATGATTTCCGAAAATTTATTCCGGTTTTCTTTTTACTTCGAAGCTATAACTCTTACAAGGTAAATAAATTTTTCTTTGCCTCCGATCACGAGACGTTGATCCATGAAAAACTATATTTGCATTGATATACTTAATTATAGTTGTCAATTCGTATTCTGCTTTTCGAACGAAACTACAAGTAATGTATACATTATTACGTCGCAATGCATCTAAATGGTGTGATTGTCCTGTTAACCGAGTGAATTTTTCAGAATTAGTAAGGTGCACTTGTCCTATAACTTACCATTGCTGAGATATTTGACTTTTTTTTATTCACTGTTTGTTTACATATGACGTAGTGAGCATATCCTCGAATACGTTCCATAATGAAAGTAATAGAATGAAAACAGTGAAATATCTCAGCAACGGTACGTTTTAGAACAAATGCACTTTAGTGCTTTTATACTCAGAATACGCCAATCTATTGAAATCGAGCATAAAAAATTGGACATTCCATTTAAAAAAACAAAGGTGACCTTTAGATCTTCTCTACGCCTCCACTTGCAACAATACCATTTATAGCATATTGTGTAGTTTCTTAAACCCTATAACTTTTGTAAGTAACATTTTCTCGTATTGTTTGAAATAACTAAGATATTTAAGTGAACAGAGTTCGTGAGACACACTGATGTATACCACCG